CGCTAAATAAAAAAGTGAAAACCAAATCATATTTTGGTGACTAAATCGGTCGCTAATTGCGACGGAATTAAAGTGGTCGCTAAATCGGTCGCTAATTGCGACCAAAATTAAATCGGTCGCTAATTGCGACCAAAATTAAATCGGTCGCTAATTTCGATGGCTAAATGTGTTTTTTCTTGTAGTGAAAGTAGCATTCATAATCTTATCTTTCATATAATAAAGTGGTGTGATTAAGGATTTATTCAAACATCTTAACCTAACAGAATTTGAATTAGTGTTATATGTGTTATATATGTAGTCAAAATATATAATTGATAACAAGCTAATAATTAGTTGGGATAGAATTGAATTTAATTCTTAAATAATAAGATCTTAAATTCAAATTTAGTTGATAAAAATATGATTGAGGTGAGTAATCTAAGTTAATCAAATGAAATTTTCAACTGGTGATCAACACAGGTTATATATATTTTACAGTCCATATAAAAAAATATAGAAATGCTATTTGGTGAAGAATGATCTTCATAAATAAAATGAAGTATTTATTTAAAAATAAAATTATTCAAATACGAGGGAGATAAAAGTTGTTATATTTTATATTAGCTTGTAATGTAAAGTGATGTCATGTTTCTATCATGATATAGATAGTGGAGCAGAATTTTACTATACACGGAATTTATATTATCCTGTTATATATATTTACTATGTCTTGGTCACTTATGAATATGACTATACATATAACAAGGTCAAGCAGTAATGTCAAATGACAATTTGAGAAACAAAATTCCAAACAAACAAATAAATAATAATTGTGTTTACGCACACACTGAGTATCAACCACGTTCAAACTCCTATACATAGCACATTTATTGTATATCTTTCACCATTTTTCTACTCAAAAGACTCATTAAGCTTACAATCTATATTTCCCAAAAAAAAAAAAAATACAATCTATTGTATTCAAAATTTTCCTACTTTGCTAACATTGTGGCAAATCCAAGTTGGGCACATCTTGTGCTGCAACCTTTGCCCTTTTATCATCACTATATTTATCTTTTGCTTCTCAAGAAAAAAAAGTGACAAATCCTAGTTTTGTTTTGCTTCAACGAAAGTGAAAATCCTATGAGATTCTTTTCTCATTCTAAAACTCTTTTATGAAGTGAAGATCATAAGCAAAATAAAGCACAAGAATCTTCTTGCTCTTCAAGGTTGTTACGTTACGAGTGATAATTTGATAGGTAAGAGAAAGTTTTGGGTTTATGATTACATGCCTAATGGCAACCTCGATTACCATTTGTCTCTTAAGGTTAACATGGCTACAAAGAAAGAACATAATCATTGATGTGGCTAAAGGGCTTGCTTATTTGCATTATGAAATCAAACCCCCCATATATCATCGTGACATAAAGGCAACCAACATACTTTGGATCCAAAATGAATGCGAAATTGGCATATTTTAGCTTGGCCAAACAAGGTAGTGAGAGGCAGTCTCATCTCACCACAAGGGTTGCGAGAACATATGGTTATTAGGCACCAGAGTATGGTCTGTATGGACAACTAACAAAGAAGAGTGATGTGTATAGTTATGGTATGGTCATTCTGGAAATCATGAGTGGAAGAAAAGTGCTTGATACTTTGAATTCATCTGCAAATTCACTGACTGATTGGATATGGACACTTGTTGAATCAGGAAATATTTGATGAGTCAATAAGAAAAGGACCCCAAAAAATTATGGAAAGGTTTATTGTTGTTGGCATGCTATGTGCTCATGTTGTGAGCTTTAAGGCCTACTATTGTTGAGGCCCTTAAGATGTCAGAGGGTGACATTGGCATTCCCCTATTACCTGACAGACCAATGTCAATCATAAAACTAATCATTCCAAGTTAATCTACAAGAATATAAACCATGACCCAATAATTGTGGCGAACTAAGTGGGACTTTTGAGACTTTAATGCAAAATGACATTGGCATTCCCCTATTACCTGACAGACCAATGCCAATCATAAAACTAATCATTCCAAGTTAATCTACAGGAATATAAACCATGACCCAATAATTGTGGCGGGCTAAGTGGGACTTTTGAGACTTTAATGCAAAATGTCATGATTCTAATGAAGAAGTTATAAGTACAAATATGCACATACACAAGGCGGAGCAAAAATCTTTCATGGTTGAGTTGAGTCAAAATATGAAGAGTGAAATAATAACTGCTAGACCAAACATAGATTTCTTAATCAACGGCTTCTATAATTGCTAAATATTTTCAAGAATAAAATCTATAGAATGGCACACTTTGCCTACACTTTTAGTTGCATAACAAACATGTATTGGATTAGCTAGTACAGTGGTAGGAGACCATACCAGCCACCAAGTATTTGCAATTTGTCAGGACAAAAACGAAACCAACATAAGCAAAATAAGTATCCCTCCTCTTGCTCCTGTCAATTCCTCATTCGACAAAAGAGAAATCAAATCATATTCAATCAGGATTAGGCACTAAACCCACACATTCAGAGAAACATAAAGATATTCACATAATTGCACACACAATTAGCCTCAACCACTAGCTACCAGCTACCCAAATCAAACTAACAAATCTAGTCCAAAACATCAAACATATTATAAAATAAAAAGAAACGAAATCAGCATAATAGCAAAATAAGTATATCTTTCTTCGTTCAACGAGGGAGAATCCAAACATGGACAAAATCCAGACAGGAAGAAAGTGGTCGCGGAGAGGGTTATGGCTGGTGCGGTGGAGCTGAGGAGAGGCTAGCGAAGATAAAGGGGCACTTGGCCTCAATGGCGGAGGCGTGGGCGGATGCGATGATGAGGGGAGAAGGGGAAAGAGTGTGGCGACGATTGTACTGCGCAGATATGGGATCGTGCGATGATGGTCACGATGATGGTCACGATGATGGGTGTTAGTTAGTGGTGGTTGGTGTAGGGAGTTGGGATGCTTGGTGTATGTGAGTGAGGGTGGACAGGGGGGCGATGAGACCATAGAGCTTAGGGGTGCAGGCCGCAAATAGGTAGAGAGTGAGGGGGCTAGGGCACGTCTGGAAGGTGAGACCGCGAAGCTTAGGGGTGCAGGTCGCGAATAGGTAGAGAGTGGGTGGTTGGTGTTAGTCGGGGGGTGATTTGAGAAAGGAGATGGTGGTTGTAAAAATGGTGGTGAATGGTGAGTGAGGTCGGGACAGGGGAGAGAGAGCAGAGTTTGGTTCAAAAGGAGGGGGGTGGTCGCGCGCGTAAGGGATGAAAATTTACTTTTTTCTTTAATTACATATTCGTACGTAAATGAGTAGGTAAAATAGTAAATAAGCATTACCTACATCTTATATATGGGGGTAATGGATAATCATCTTATCCGTGGGTAAATTCCATAGGTAATGCATAATTTACATACGGATAAGATTCTGTAGGTAATATCCGTAGGTAATGTATATTTTACCTATAGATTTTTACCCGTAGGTAATATGTTATAGATAATAGGTTTTTTTTTTAATGTGTCATATTTGTCAAAGCTGAGGTAGGACATCTATTGAGAACATAGGTTGCTTGATTTGCTGCTTTTGGCCAATACTTCTGTGGAACCTTTTGATTAGTGTGTGATTTCTCCTTTCATCCACTCCATTTTGTTGTGGGGAGTAGGTGGTAGTGAGTGGTCTGGTGATGTCATGAGCACTATAGTAGTCATTAAATTCTGAGGAACAAAATTCTCCTCCTCTGTCAGTTCGTAGGCACGTGATTTGGTATCCTGTTTCGTTCTCCACACATGACTTGAACCTTTTGAATGTGTCAAAGGCTTCTGACTTTCATGTAAAAAATAAGACTACATTTTTCTACTATAATCATCTATAAATATTAGAATATACCTCTTATGGCTTTGAGACTCTGGGGAAATTGCACCGCATATATCTGAATGAATAAGTTGGAGAGGTTTAAATGCTCCCCATACACTTTTCTTTGGGAAGGGATTACGTTGTTGCTTTCCACTCATGCATATGCTGCACATTTGGGATTGGTTCTTCAATATAGGCAAGCCATGAACCATTCGTCTATAAGCCAAAGTGTGCAATCCTTTAATATTAAGGTGCCCAAGCCTTTGATGCCATAGGCTTGTAGTATTATCAGAAGCAATATTATTATAACATGGGACTGGTGCTGTGTTAGGAGGAATGGATGCTAAAAGTATAAACATGTGATTGGTCGTTATCATGGTTCTTATAATCAAACCTTTCGTATTGTGATAAATACTGCAACATCCATTTTGAATTAGAATGGACAATTCATTTTCTTGTAGTTGACCAATACTAAGTAAATTTGATTTAAGGTCATGAATATAAAATACCTCTGATGACCACAATCAGTCCATCTATTTTGAGTCGAATTGTACCTTTTCCCATGACATCCAACTTAGAATCATTACTCAATTTGACGTTGTGCCTGAATGATTGGTCTAGTTCGGTGAACCATTTTTTTTTCTCCACTCATATAGTTGCTAGAACCTGAGTCTAGGAATCATATGTCACTGTGTACATCTCCTTACAGTTCTTGATAGGCCATAAGCAACATCTCTCCCTCGTCCATATTAGTGTGTTCGGTTGCATAAGTGGGACATTCATATTTGCAATGTCCCAGTTTGTGACGGCGGTAGCATTCAACAGTGGATTTGTTGAATGCTCTCCCTTGACCCCTGCCTCTTCCACGCCATCTGCCTTCGGTGTTGGCTCATTCCTCAGTGTGTGAAAAAGAGGCATTCTCTGTGACCTTCAATGCTTGGTCAGTTATCTCTTGCCGCTTGAACTTTTGTTCATGAATAAGCAATGAGCTTTGCAATTCATCAAGTGTCATCTTATTGATATCTTTTGTCTCTTCAATAGAGCACACAATGTAATTATACTTGTGCGTAGAATCTTTTCAACAATGTGACCATCCTCCATAGCCTCGCCAACTCTTCTCATATCATTTACGATAATCATTATTCTATAAATGTAATCATTAACGCATTCACCACCTTGCATCTCAATGAGTTCAAACTCCTTTCTAAGTCGTTGAAGTTGGGCTCTTTGAACACGTGCATTTCCATGATATTTCTGCTTCAGTGAATCCCAAAGACTCTTTTACGTTGTTTTATTGGTGATTGTCTTCATAACATTTTTATCTATAGATTGGAATAAGTAATTCTTGGTTCTCAAGTCCTTTAGTCGTTACTCTTACAATGTACGTCTGTTCCAATAAGTTCTTCCACAGTTTTGGGCTCTTCATAGTCTTGCTCCACTATTGTTCAATATTTCTTTGATCTGAAAAGATTTTCCATGAGCATGGACCATTGATCATAATCACTATCAAACCTAGGAATACTAAGGAAATTATTGTTGTTGTTATCCGTCATGGTGTTTTGGTTTCTGAATATTAGTTTGTGAGTGATTCTCGATACCAGGGTTAGAAACGTAACTTTAAACTTTATTTATTTTATTAATAAGAATCACATTAAATAGAAAAACTAATTCATACTTAAATTTATGACTAAATATTAAAGACCTTAGATATTTTATTTAATTCAAAATAAACTAATAAGTGTCGTTGGATAATAAATATCCTAACACACTCTCCGTTGGTGCTTCCCATATCAACTCGTCAAACCCACTCCAAATTTCATCTGAGATCACTAGCACTCTCTCTCTCTCTGTTGTTTCCAAAACAATCTCCTCAATCACTTCTGTTATCATCGTAAGCACACTCAGAAATTTCCAATACCATCTCTGACGTGTCGCACATCATATTCCCAAACCCACTCCATAATACTTCCAAGATCATCTTGTCTTCCATCAATATATAGGTACTCCCACAAACTCCTTGTCCTTGAGACTCCTTGACGTTGTGAGCAACCCAATAAAACTAGTTAAAATGGATCTACAGAATGCACAAAACGCAACCCTACTATTATTAGGCCTCTTGGCTTATTTATCTCTCGCGACATCGTTTCTTGGAAAGCTTGAAGAGTTTGCACTTTTGATGAACCCAGTGGAAGAGTTTCATAGGAGATGAGGTGTTCATCACCCACGAAGTTTTGGAACTTCTAGGTTCTCTCACTCAAAATTGAATGATTATATATTTATAAATTTGAAGTCTAATTCTAAATTTTTTATACTTTTCACATCTTCTTATTAATTCATGATTTATTAATAATATGTTATTTAATATCAGCATCAACATAATATCCAATTGACGTCGTCATGTTACTCTTCTTGCGGATATAGTCATAACGGTTTTGATCCTTTTGATGCCACCATTGATGATCTTAACAAGTCCCATATGGATACCATCTGGTTCAATTTTCTTGCTAGTTACCGCAACGTTGTTGTCCATGTGCGGATTAGTGTTGTTGCAGTAGCTATCATGTTATGGGGTTTTCGTTACTACGGACGACGCAACACGTTGAATCCTTAATACATATGTGGCTCTATTCGCGTTTTTCTGTCTTGCTGGGATTTATGTTATTGTGTTTTTACTTTGACTAATGACATAATGTTTCTTCTCAATGTTTATGATTGCGATCAAAGATAAGAAGTTATAATAGTTTCATGTTTCATGGTGTAAAAAGGAGAAACATATTATGAAATAAAAAGTGTTTGCAACGTGTTTGTATTTTCGAGTGCCTAAAATATTTCTCTTTTTATTATTCCACAATTGCATTCAATTTATTATATAGTTTGACAAAAAATAAAAATAGTGGAACGTGTCCAAATTGGAAAAACAATTTCATGAAAGGGTAGAGAGATTGAAAAACACAGACATAATTTTAATACTATTATTTAAACTCAACCAATAATAATAGCAACAATTAAATAAAAAAAACAAATCTTTTTTTTAAAAGTGAAAGATTTTTTATAATAATAATAATAATAGATTTATTTTCCTCATTTTTCATTACACATTGAAAAGTTGGTAAAAGAGCAGCTAAGAGTGAGTCATTAGAGACAACAAACAACAAAGTCATGTATTTAAAATATTTGAGCTCAACAAACTGTAAACTTAGGTTTGAAGAATAATTCATGTCATTGCATTTATGCTTTGAGAAGACTATTTCCCTTCTTGTGTGTGAGCTATTCACAACAATGAGATCCAACAAACGAGTTCAATACAATAGAATAAATAGATCTATGCATAAAAAAAATTAATACTTTGGTATTTAATAATGGCAACCATAACTCACAATCACAGCCAATCACTACAACATTCTATGCCACTACTCTCCAACTATAATAAAATCATTTTTATAATCATCATTTTTGTATTGTAAACTAATGCTCATAGTAAGTTAACTTTTAATTAGTTTTGGAGGAGTAATTATAGATGGAAAAAGTTGCAATTGTACTGAAAAGGAAAAATTATAATTACGAATGAGTTTGTTTATTGATTAGTTTATGATTGTAGATAAAAACTTTTTGAGATACTATTTTTTATTTTGTAAGCGATATGGCGTTTTGTGGTGATGACAATATTCCTTAGAACCAACAAAGTGATAAGAGGAATAAAATGTCACAAAATATTTCACCGCAAAGAGAATCTTACAAAATACTCAAGACAAGAACTTGCAACTGATAACTGAGAAATTCCACCTAAAAATGGAAACTTTATAATATGGCAACAAGAGAAAAAGGTTTAGTTCTAACCCACTCTTACATTTATCAACTATTGGTTATTAAAAATAGCAAGTTTTGTTAGTGATATCTTACTTTTAACAAATGATCTTATAATTTCTAATGAATTGTATTAATAACAGAGAGATTGTATTACAAGAATGTATCAAAAGAGTAATACTTCTCCTAACAACAAAATTAATGATTCAAATAAAGAGTAACACTTTCTAACATGTTTTGTAATTGTTTAAAATACAAATCATAAATGAAACTTATAAAAAAGAAAAGAATGCCAATTTTTGTTACAGCTCTAATAATTTTGACCAATTCAATGTGTTAGTGGGATTTCTCTCTCAATAAAACAAAGTGACAAAGCATACAATATCAGAAGCACTTTCGCCCCTCCAATTTAAAAAAGAAGTAAAAAAAAAAAAAAAAGAGAGTCATATGGTTTAATGATTGTGTTGTCCCAATTTTCAATTGCGAAACAACCTTTTCCCTTTAGCGGTGCATGTGGTGTGAGTGAAGGAGTAACATAGAGAGTGTGTGAAACGGAGCCAGTCTAAAAGTCGTCTCCACGTTCTCCTATGCACATATTGTGGGGTGTGCTGTGCCTGTCCCTGTGTGCCACTATTGTCATATTCCGTAAAATAAGCTTTTTCCTGTGGAATTCTGAACCTTCCGTTCTTTGCAAGTCCAACTATACATGATATTTGCAAACACCCTCTTCTCAGATATTGCCGAAGGATTCATTTTTAGTTCATTGGTGAGTTTTGGAGATCTGGGTATGCTGCATTTTGGCCTCTCCAGTGGGTTTGACCAGTGACAAATCTGGGTCATAATGCTGGAAGATGCTCCTTGATTTGCAAAAAGGTTTTGTTTCATGAGCCGTGTTTCTTTTTTCCCACTGTGAATTTGCTTTTTGTCAGCTGTTGTACCTCACTAAAGTATTAGCTTTCTTGAAAGTTGTTTGTGGGTATTGACTTTTTGCTCTTTGCCAAAGTTAAGTGTTTTTTTAAAGGATTGGGTCTTGGTGGTTGTGTTGTTGTTGTTTTTTTTTTTTCTTTCTCTGAAGAAATTTGAGCATTGCATGTGGAAGAGTCGATCTGAAAATTGAAATCTTAAGTTGATGCTTGATCTGGAATGTTGTGTGGAGTTTGTCTCTGGGAAAGGATTGGAATTTGGAGTGTTAGTGGTTTTGGAAAGTATCAAAGTAGTGGAGATGGAAGTGTTTGACTAGTACATTTTGTTTTTGAGGGAAGATTTGTGCAGTGATGGCTTCAACCAATCCTTCTCCAAATGCTTCCCCTGTTGCAGTGCCTCCAGTACTTGGTGATATTTTAACACCATCACCTTCTTCATCTTCTCCAACCAATTCTTCCACCCCTCCATCACCTCCCAATTCTTCCCAGCCTAATCAAACACCCAATTCCCCTGCTCCTTCATCTCCCTCTGACCCTTCAGCTCCACCTCCCTCTCCTCCTCCGGCAGTGCCTGTAACACCTCCTCCTTCCACATCACTCTCTCCTCCGCCATCTTCTCCACCACCACCAGCTCTGCCTCCTCCTTCACCACCAGATTCTCCACCACCATTACCACCAGCATCTCCAACACCACCAGTTGTAACATCTCCCCCCTCACCACCAGCTACCTCCACTGCCCCTCCTCCAGCTGAGACAACACCTTCCCCTCCAATTTTGACCCCACCATCTCCACCAACTGTTTCCCCTCCTCCTCAATTACCTCCCACAACAATTCCACCTCCCTCTCAACCGATTTCATCATCTCCTCCTCCTCCAGCCAATGTTCCAAGGCCACCATCCACTGGTACTCCTCCACAGAAAGAAAGTCCTCCAAAAACTACTCCTTCGCATGCGTCCCCTCCATCAGTTTCTCAATCTCCTCCTAAGCCTCCTTCCTCTGATGTTCCTCCTCCATCCTTATTGCCATCGACTCCTCCTTCAGTCCCTTCAGGATCTCCACCTCCAGCTTCTTTGCCTGACCCCCCAACCAATGAAACAGCCGCTGGGGGTCCACCGGTACCGCTACCCACTCTTCCAACTGAGAAACCCACTGCTAGACCAACTAATGATGCTACTAACAATATATCTACAATACCTTCACGTTCAGGAGGGTTAAGTAGTGGAGGATCCGTGGCTATTGGAATTGTAGTTGGTTTTATTGTCCTTAGCCTTCTTGTTATGGCCGTGTGGTTTGTAAAGAAGAAAAAGAAGAAGGAAAAAGGATCAGGAGGCGGTTATGCTGCTCCTTCTCCATTTACTTCGTCCCACAATTCAGGTATTGCATTATGTACTACCAACTATTAGGGTTTAGGAATATAATATTATTGGTTCTTGCATGTTGTTTGTTGTTAACCTGGATTTTTTTTTATCGAGATAAATACGAAAGGATTTCCCAATATTGCTTAGAGCCTTAAACTTGAATTAGATAATCTCCGATATAATGGACTCTGGTTCCTGGATACTTTAATAATGAATTAGAGAAGCCCCAATTCTGGTTCTTAAAATATTTATCATAAAACCAGGTTTCCTATGTCAATGTATCAATCTTCATTACCACTTAATACCAATTTCTCTTAGTCCAATTTGGAGTTCATTTATTTGATTTTCCAAATCTCTACATCAATAATTGTTATGTTTTGCGCAATAGGTTGCTATGTTCAGGGAAATACTATTAATCTGAAACTTGAAAAAAGGTGGCTTTAGTTTATGGCTTTTTAGTTGTCTATAAAGTTGTGATTGCATCTCTGATCTATATGGCCGGGAACTGGTACAGTAGCCATTTTTACGGTGCACTCTGCTATACTGTCTATTTTTACTTTGTTGCCAGTTCAAATCAAATCAATGACATTTACCTAAACTCAGTTGCAAGACACTAGAATAGGGTTAGTGGCACAGACTGACAGTTTTGTGAAGTTTGCCGCATTTTATTGGTTCAAACTTCCATACTGTCCTTGAAAAACCTCACTGATGAATCTATGTTGCGCTCCTGGGAGTAACTTTGGTTTCTACATTATATGTGGCAAATTTTAGCTGATCAAGATAATTAAGCAGGATATTTGTTGTTAGACTTTTTTTCTGAAAAGTTTTGGAATGTTATTATGTTAGTGCATTATGTTTGAATGCCATGACACCATACAACTGTCATTTGTTTATAGTAACTTCCTGATTCTGCTACAATTTTACGTACTAATTGATACTTGGATAATTCTTTTAATCATTATTATTCTCTTCTAGGTACCTTATTCTTGAGGCCACAGTCTCCAGCCAACTTTGTAGCAGGTAGTGGCTCTGGGAGTGATTTTGTGTATTCTCCATCAGAGCCAGGCGGAGTAAGTAGTTCAAGATCATGGTTCACATATGAAGAACTTGTTCAAGCTACAAATGGATTTTCGGCACAAAATTTGTTGGGAGAGGGTGGATTTGGTTGTGTCTATAAAGGTTTGCTTGTAGATGGAAGAGAAGTAGCTGTGAAGCAGCTTAAAGTTGGAGGTGGGCAAGGGGAACGTGAATTCAGGGCAGAAGTTGAGATTATTAGCCGCGTACATCATCGACATCTGGTTTCCTTGGTTGGTTACTGTATTTCTGAGCATCAGAGATTGCTTGTATATGACTATGTTCCCAACAACACTCTTCATTACCATCTCCATGGTAAGATAAATACATATTGATTGATTACATAATTTGAATGAGTGTTTGACACCCCTTTTTAAAGAGGGTTGTAGAAAATGAGGTGTGAAAAAATTAGAGTTGTTTCTAAAATTTGTATGACATAGACAGCACACATAATTCAAAATTTAAGGAAAAAAGGTTCTTAATTGTAATAGTATACATAAAGTTCAACACTTACAATATCTTGATATATGTTATATGGACAATATTGGCTATGTTGTAAGCCCCTTCCAGAAAACAATATGGACACATCCATACTTGTGTTGGATATATGTAGTTAGTGTCATATAGAGGTTCTCTCATACAGGTGTCACCATGTTGGTCCTATTGGACAAGTACGTGGCACTAATATGGTGTTTCCATGCCTTGTGGAGTTTATATGTTTGATATCTCCTTTTGATGGACTACGAGAAAAGTATCATTTTGTTTGTGTGATGACGAATGATTTGAATCCTTCTTTTTATATTATTTTTAATTTGTTTAGTGGTGAACTTAAAGAATATTGAAAATTATAGATAATATATTGTTTAAGTATTCACTAGGATAGTAGCAACACATAATATATTGTTTTTCCATGAATTTATTATCATCACCATTGTAGTTGCACGGTAATTTACAATCCAATTAGGTTGTTGAGTAAGTTCCCATCATCATGCTGTCTACAGTTCACCTAAAATTTCATCTAAAATTTGACCAGGAAATTGAATTTTTTTTCAGCTGAAAATAGACCAGTTCTGGATTGGTCTACCAGAATCAAGGTTGCTGCTGGTGCAGCTCGTGGAATAGCTTACCTGCATGAAGACTGTAAGTTTCTTCTATTTCATTGTGTTCTCAAGTGTACAGTTATCATCCACAGAAGACAGTGTTTCCATGATACTACATGCTCCTTTGATGCTTGGAGTCTCTTCTAAAATATCTATTTTTCTTTAAAATAGTACATTGAGTTCTTTAAAAATTTTGCAACAACAAATAAGATACACATTATTGTTGATTGCACATTCATAATTACATATGTTTTTTACAACTTGATCTTTTTAATTTTTGTAGCATAAATATTTTTTATCTTCTTATTTCTTTTAATTAATTTATCAGGCCATCCACGCATTATTCATCGAGATATAAAGTCATCAAACATCCTTCTTGATCTCAACTACGAAGCTCAAGTAAGCTACTTTTATAATCTGTACCTCTGATGGGAATACATTTTTAAATTTTTTATGAAGTCAGTTTAGTAAATCAATTCACACTTGAATGCCAGCTTGTGTTGCATCAACATCTTAGACTATTTTCCTTTTTGTGACATTTTTTTTGTGTGATTTGATCATCAGGTTTCGGACTTTGGGCTTGCAAAATTGGCATTAGATTCAAATACACATGTGACAACACGTGTAATGGGAACCTTTGGGTAGGTTGCATCTTTATCTATATTGTAGCTTGAGTCACATAATTTAGTGTTTATTAGTGGAATCCTTTCCTATTATTAGCCCTTAAATTTTATTATGTATTTTGACTATCTGTATTGTATATCTGAATAAATGTAAATTCCAGTTGAGGCCCTTGGATCTTGTGTGGATATTATTGAGTTTAGATCTATTATGTTATAGGCCCTTTTTGACATATGTAGCTTTAGTCTTTTGGATATTAGTCAATTATGAACTGTCCCTATTGTGATTATACCTAATGGGAATAATGGTCTGATTTGACAGGTACATGGCACCAGAATATGCAACAAGTGGGAAACTAACGGAAAAGTCTGATGTATATTCCTTCGGCGTTGTGCTTTTGGAGTTAATTACAGGTCGGAAGCCTGTAGATGCATCTCAACCAATTGGTGATGAGAGCCTCGTTGAATGGGTGAGTCACGTAATGGCTTTGATTATTATTATTATTATTATCATGTATAGGTTTTTTAATTTACTGAAGTCTAAAGGGTTCTTATATTGTAAAACAACAAAATCTTGGCTTCATCATTTAAACATTCTGAAACCAGAAAAAAAAAAACAAAAAACGAAGTAAAAATTTAACAATTATTATTGAAAACATAAACCTAAAAATGTAAACATAGAGCAAACTGAACTGCCCAGTTTTTCTTTGTTTTCTATGTGCAATGATGAATTATACGAGGAACTTGTATATACCTTATTTGTTCACATAATAGTACTAAATCCCATACATTTTGAATAGATTATAAAGGAGAAACACGGCAAGGGAATGGATTACCAAACAGCTGCAAATATAAACTGCTCATTTTAATAATTAGCAAACTTGTTTCTAGGCTCGGCCTTTGTTGACTGAAGCCCTTGATAAGGAGGACTTTGAAATCTTGGTGGATCCAAGACTGGGAAAGAACTATGATAGAAATGAAATGTTCCGGATGATCGAGGCCGCTGCAGCCTGTGTACGCCACTCATCGGTGAAGAGGCCACGCATGAGTCAGGTAATTTTATTCTCTGACTACAGAGCACACTATGCAGGTCAGCATGTGTATATATTTGTTGTGATTTTGAAGATGCTAAGTGTGCATGCTTTGCACATTGCTGCTTTCCCAGGTGGTGAGAGCTTTAGATTCCTTAGACGAGATTACGGATCTCAATAATGGAATGAAACCTGGGCAGAGTTCGGTGTTTGATTCTGCACAGCAATCTGCTCAAATCAGAATGTTTAGGAGGATGGCTTTTGGAAGCCAAGATAGTTCAAGTTTCTTCAATGAGTCTCAGAGTAGCTGGAGGAGTAGAGATCAGGACTCAACAACCATATTTTCCCAAAACAAAACTGGGCCTTGGAACGTTTGAGCCGCATGAGTCACTCACTCTTCAGGGATTGCACAAGTTTTGATTGATGCACACAACACAGACGCACCTGTCAGTGTGCATCATACATCTGAACTTCAGTTTGCTGGTGGGGCATGTCCTGTGGTGTAAATCTCATTTTTACTATTTTTGTTCCATTTTCCTAACATCATGTTGCTTGTTAAGGTCCTTTCTATTCATTGTAAATTAGGTTATTTGTTATATAACGCAATGTATTTATTCATGTAAAATACCATGTATGAGTTGTTACACTGCTCAATTGAACACTGCCCATAAACCACAATTTATGCAGCTCATTGTAGTTTACACTTTACACAAGTAAAAATCATTACTATCAGTTTCATAAAATGACATTCAGAAAGTGAAGAATCAGATCTAATTTCTACAATCGGTTGAAATGCCAAAAATCTCCAACTCAAGGAGCTTGCGTAATAATTTTGAACAGAAATGTTTAACACTGTTAATGTCGAATTAAGTTTACCTACGAAAGTAATGTCTTAAAAATTTGAAGGTGTCGGTGTTATGAACAGACCTACGACACTAAACCTATCTAGGGTTTGCTGACAGAATAACAAACTTTTAAAAATATGTTCTTTAGGCCCATGTGGCCTTTAAGCAGTTGGGCCTGGGCGTATGTCTCCCTTATCGATATGGGCCGCTGGTGATTTAATGCAGTGATCTGTACAGTTGGAATTGTTGTTATTGCGAATAATATTTTATAAATAATACAAGACTATTATTACTTTTTTTATATTTTAATATTAATATGATACTATGTTTGTAATTCATGCATTATCATCGAAAGGTTTTAGTTTCTAAGGATTATAATGAAAAATCAAACATGATTTTATAATATGAAAAGGATCAAGTTGACTTTCGGTAGACAAAGTAAATAAATTTGAGATCTCGTGGCAATGCTCGCGTCACAAACTTATTTTATAATATGGTAATTTCCAGGAAACTGGACCGAGTCCAACCCTTGAACAGCTTATATAATAAAACCATATCCACTCAATCCCCAAGTTCGAGACATTGAAAGAGATTTTGCTGCATATCAACCACCAGGAAGAAGGGATTATAGGTGATTCCCTCTTTTCTCTTTGATTTTGTAATGAAAATTATTGCTTAATTTCTCATTTCATAAAGTTGGATACTCACTTAGTTGTAAATAAAACTTAATGGATGCTGGTTACTTAAACTTAAACACCTTTGCATGTTGAAATGAAGTTTGAGCTGATTTGACTCCTTAGTTCATTGATCGTGTTTTCTAACATAAACTCAAGACCAAGTTTTTTTTTTTTTCTGACAGAATGCTTTTATAAACTCTTGGTAAAGGAAATTAAAAAATTAATTTGTGTGTAGAGGAAATTAATAATAATGGGTAGGCCTAAAGATGAGCACTACTGGAGTAAAGTTTCGAAAGAAGAAAATGGATGGTTGAAGTGTAACAAATGTGGATTCAAATTCAAAGGAGGTGTTTGGAGAATTAAACATCATGTTAATCGAATTAAAGGAAAAGGGGTTCAAATATGCTCCCTTCGTCATCCTTCAAATAATTCCCAACAACAAGGTACAACTATTTCAATTGATTATAATATTTTGCATTGAAGTTTATACATAACATATATACACATATTGTCACACTTTGTTTGAAGTGGCTGAAAGTGCAAGGGAAATGACTGGTACCATTGGTGGTTCAATTAACAATGAAACATTATCACCATTATTAGAAGGTATGCATCTTACTCATAAATTTATTGTGCTTATTTTCCTTCTCTTCACTCTTGTGCTTTATTTTTATCTACATCTCTTGTTGCATTGAATCTAGACATGATTCTTGGTGGTTTGGTTAACCCTCAAAACAGTACACAACTCACAACTTCATTGGAAACTCAAGGTAAACTTTCTAGTTACCATTCCATTGTATTTTTTTTTATCTTTTTGCAACTTATATAGTCTTTTTATTTTAATCCTCAATTGTCAATTTTATTTTTACATGCAATATATACATAAGCACATTCTTTTATTTCTTACTGTGAGCATGATATAAAATAGTACATTCATTACATTCCATTCCATATATATCAACATTGGTATTATAAAACACTCACATTTAAAATTATTTACTTTCTCTTTGAAATAATTAGGGCTAATTAAGTTTGTAATAACTCAAAATTTTAAATTTCTATTTTTAGTCCCTATAAATTCTTTTACCGTTTTTAAACTCTTATTTATTTTTATCCATTAATATTAGTCTTTCTCATGGACTAATTTTCGCTTATTTTTAGTGTCTCAGATTATCATTGATGAATAAAAATCAATAAATGAGTAAAATATGTATTTTATTTTGATAAAATAATTTATCAAGGAAGACTCAGCAAAGAAATATTGTTAAATGGGAGTTTGTACTTGAAAGATGTATTTGTATATTTTTCCTTTGTTAAAATGTATCAGCACTCTTAAATGAACTTAGCTTCATCAAAAACAATGAAACAGGTTTTGTAGCAGAGCATGATAATGGTGTTTTGACTACTTTGCTAACTAACTTAGATGAGTTGGAATCCGATCTAACAAGCGAAGAAGAGGATATTCAGGGACAGTTACAATGGCTAGAATCTCATGGCAAGAAGCGCAAGGAACATGTTGATGATTAGTTGGACCAACTACACAACCTGAAACAAAGAGTTATTGATATGAAAAACTCATTGAATCAGTTTGGGTGGTCTAACGTATCTGGGCAAGAAATACACGGAGTAATGAATTCAGCTGAAGAATCACAAAAGTATAAGGAAATAAAGCAATTGACAGAAGGAATGCAAGAGCATAAGGAAAATAAGCCTCTGGTGTTGTCAAATGAATTTGTTGGTTGGGAATATGAGGAAAATGTTAAGAATATGTGGGAGCTTTTGGGAGATGATCAAGTTTTCATTATTGGCTTATGTGGAATGGGAGGAGTGGGGAAAACATTCCTAGCAACTTATATGGAGAATGAGATAAAAAGAAAGGGAACATTCGGGGATGTCTTTTGGATCAATGTTTCCCAGGATTTTAGCATTCTCAAATTGCAACATAACATTGCAGAAACAATAGGAGTAAAGCTCAATAGAGATGATGAGAGAACTAGAGCAGCAATTTTGACGTCAGAGTTAGAGAAAAGAGGGAAATCAGTATTTATTTTGGATGATGTTTGGAATTATATTGATCTAGAAAAGGTGGGAATTCCTCTTGGATTAAAGGGTAATAAATTGATTATAACAAGTCGTTTGAAACATGTGTGTCAACAGATGGATTGCCTGCCAAATAATCTGATAACAATACACCCTTTGGGTTATCCCGATGATGATGATGATGATGGTGGTGAAGCATGGGAGCTATTTTTGCTTAGACTTGGACACCATGGAACACCTGCTATACTTCCCCCTGAAGTAGAGTATATTGCAAAATCTGTTGTAAAGAATAGTCGTGGTTTACCACTTGCAATCAATGTGATGGCTCGAACCATGAAAGGGCGACAAGACGACATTCATTGGTGGAGACATGCGCTGAATAAACTTGACAAGGTGATGGAAGAGATATTCGCAACACTCAAACACAGCTATGATAATTTAATTGAAAAGGATGTGAAAAAATATTTCTTATATTGTGCATTACTACCTGATATTTACCACAGCGATTATTTTATCAAAAGGATTTTTGAGACTGAATTCTCAAATAGAAAGGGGAGTTTGGAGGACATATTTGATGACGCGAAAGTCATTGTGGATAAACTCGACGACCATTCTTTATTGTTGAGGGATGAAGAGTGTAGACGTATGCATAATCTGGTGAGGAAAATGGCGTGTTACGATAAAATGATGGTAAAACGTCATGAAAAACTGAAAAAAATACCTGACATAGAGGAATGGACAATTGATTTGGAGGCAGTTTCTTTGGCAGGTAACAACATAAAAGAAATCCCAGAGAGCACATCACCTAATTGTCCACACTTGTCCTGGTTGATTTTATCTCACAATTCCATCTGTTATATTCCAGATAGTTTATTCACACACATGAATGCTCTAACAATACTTGACCTATCACGGAATCGTGAATTAAAATGTTTACCAAATTCGTTGTCTAACTTGAGGTCTCTTACTTCTTTAGTGCTCAGTGGATGCTTCAAATTGGAATATATACCACCGCTGGGAGAGCTACAAGCATTGTTAAGATTGGACCTTTCACAATGTTCCATCCTCCAAGTACCACCGGAAGGTTTGGAAAATCTAATAAACTTGAAATGGCTAGATCTGTCCCGTAACTACAAGATGCTAGTACGAGGAAATGTACTAAGCAAATTGATCAGTATGCGAGTTCTCGATCTTCGGTATTGTTCAGGTATAGAAGTAATAGACGTGCAAGGGATGAGTATGCTTGATTGTTTTAGAGCAAGTTTTGTGGACCAGGATAACTACATTCGTTACATGCAAGAAATCCAATGCAGAGATTATGGTCCTAAAACTTATCTTATCCTCATGGGAAAATGTGAGGGTTGGATGCCTTGTTATATGGATCCTATTTATTTAGAATTTAAGGGTCGAAGAGTTTGCTTTGGAGATTGTGAAGAACTTCCCTATTTACTGCCAAGAGACCTTAAGGAATTGAATGTAACTAACAATGATCAATGGGAATGCTTATGTGGCACCCTGTCATGGAATAACCCTCCTTCTCTGAAGAAGATTTACATTAGTGATTGCCGAAGACTGAAGAGCTTGTTATGTTTGTCAAATTCTTGTTCCTTATGCACTAATATCCAAAACCTCCAATCTTTGAGTGTTTATAATTTAGAAGGTTTAACTGCAATCGGCAAAGATGTTGATTTAACACAATCTTTGTCACCGAGGGGCGTGTTCTTTCATCTTAAGAAACTTTACATCAACGATTGCCATAAAATAGAAACGTTGTTGACACCAGGTTTAGTGCCACAGCTTCATAACCTGGAATATATGACTGTTTCGAGTTGTTATTCGATGAAGGAGATATTTGCAGAGCATGATAATGGTGATGGCAATAATTTAAACATTACTCTCCCCAAGTTGATCACTTTTAAACTGTCGACTTTACCACTATTGAAGATTGTGTCTAAAGGAACCTTAGTGTGTAGGTCTAAGAATATATTGGAGATTCGGGGTTGTCCCAAATTAGAAATGTTCCCCAAAATACAAGTCTTTTGTGGTTGATTTTGTTGATTCTGAAAAATTTGATTATGGTGTGTAATGTCACTTGGTAATTATATTCATTAATCATGTATAGGCACCAACATTAATATCTTACAACCCACCTGTCCCAGTATTCATTTCCCTTTTTGGACAAACAGTGAGTAACTTAAAGTTACAATTGGCTTTCACAAGTACAAAAGCCAATTTAGAATTACATAATATTATATTATGAAAAGTGCAATTGATAAGGTTCCGCGTACCAACGTCTTGAATATTTGCAAAGGACAGTACACTGTAGATTTGGTACCTTGTGTTGTGTTGTGAGAAATCTAGAGCGGATATTTATGTTCCGTTTGGTAGAGAAGAAAAAAAAAATTAGGAAAAATATAAGGAAAGAAGAAGAAATAAGAAATGAATTATAAAAATAGTTGAAAAAAATAAATAGAAAAGAGAAATATTTTTTTGTTATTGTTAATTATTTTTTAATTGCCATGATTAAATTATATATTGTTTGTAACTATAAAATAATGTTAAAAACTAACAATCATCTATGCTTGTACTCATTTATGAAAAGGGAAAATTGTAGAGTTTTAATAAACGTAAGCCGCACCATTCGTAGAAAGAACCTTACTCAATTTTTAATTCTACACCAAAACGAATTAAAGAGATGTTCAACTCACCACTTTTTGTTCTAACCAAACAGCACATATAAAATGGATTTAACAATTACACTTTATTATCTTAACTATAAAAAGATCATAAACATCAATTAAAAGCCATGATAAACACAAATTGCCACCCGTAAGTTCACTCAATGCGATTCAAAAGCATCGTCATCTAATTCAAACAATCACATTTCCCAGAAGATACAATCAATTTCCAATTTCCAAGGGGAGGTAGCTAAAATCCAATACCTAAACTTTAGCTACACTATCGAATTCCTAAAACTATCAACAAATACCAGAGGTTCCATAAAAACACCCATGAAAACGTACATGAAAAAAAAAAAGCTTGAGAAATTCAATCACCTCTCCTAAGCACTACCCCTCGTGGTTATAATTTAGAGATCTACATCCAATTGTTAATACAAGATAACTTTACGACATCATCCCTAAAGTTGATGAGGTCGTGACATGAAGAAGCAAGTGGAGTCATGTTGTAAAAAAATTCCAAAGCTTCTTCCCTATTGAAGCTTCACCAGGTTGTAGGTAATCTTCATCGTCCTCGTTGTCAACTCCACCAGCGTCTTCCCCGTGGGATTCACTCCTATACTCGGCATCATTCTCCTCCGCATCATCCGCGGTTCCGTTCACCTCTTCACTCAAGTTTATATTGTTCGCAAGGGTCCCTGTTGTATCACCACCATAACCTTCCCTTGTCTCAACAACTTTCATAGACTGAAATAATAACATGCAATTTAACATTAGTTTGTTATTGTTCACCAGGAAGAAACACAACTGAAACCCAAAATTTGTCGAGATGAGATCCATTTCCTACTACTACCAAATTTCCAATATTATATATATATATTGGGAGAAATGTATTAATCTGAGTAATACAATATACATGGAAAGTCAAAAGATTACAAGTTAGTGATCATATAACCACTTAAAAAAGATTATGGGCATTTATCTTTAATCTAGACTACTTAATTATGATTTAATGCTCTATATTTATAGTTCCCTTTCTCACAATGACAAGAGTTTTTCTTTTCCATTTGATACTTGTATATTACTTGGATATATATATATATATATATATATATATATATATATATATATATAGAGAGAGAGAGAGAGAGAGAGAGAGAGAGAGAGAGAGATGACCAAAGTGGCAAGGCATACAACTTATAACTATCATCATGATTAATACCTACACCAAGCTTACCTGCTCAGCAAGATGTACGCTTCCAGCATTCTCGTTAGTAATGCCCACCGAATGTGAATGAGAAACTTTTGAGTCAACAATTTCCTCTTCTGTATCTTTTCCACGATCAACCTCTCCCTGACTTTCTTTGCCACCACCAGACATAGCTCTGGCAGATGAAGTCATTGCTCCACTATAAAAATTCAGTGCATATCCATGAATAAGTGGGCAAATAGCAAAAAGAAAAACATTTGCTCACATTCAATAATAAAATGGATATTATGCTTCTAAATACTCACGTTTTGGGTCGTCTCAAATTATATCTTGTTTCAACAGCAGTTTGTGCAGGTGGAGCAGCAGCCTTCTTCTGTCGCCTTCTTTTGCGCTGCCCTGGTATTTGGCTATCAGAATGCCCTTCACTGGCATCACCATCTTGCCCGCTCACAGTCATTTGTGATGTTTGAACCCAATTTCGCTTCCTGACATTTGGTATTCTTCTATTGGATGGTCTCTGACTTTCAGAATTCACATTGGCAGAGTCCTCAGCATTTCCATTAGGAAACTCGGTCTCGTGATCATCCACAGATTCCCCAGGTAATAATTCAGCAGCTTCCCCAAGTATAGCCCTGGCCTCTTTGAGAACAGCTTTCACAGTGTGTGTGCGCTTTACCCTGGTTCTTCCCCCTCCCCTGCGGGGTTTCTGCTGCCCATCTTTTGAATCTTCTGGTGCTTTACTGTCAACATTGCTCTGGTTTTCAGCTGATGGATCATGATCAGCTTCAACCTCTGCGATATCATTGCCATATTGTACCCTCCGAGCATCAAAAGAATCATTTACAACAGCAAATGACAACTCTGCTTCATTCTCATGACCAGGAATTCTTCCTGGTGAATCTTCCATATTAGTTTTCTCAACAGACAAAGTCACAACATCTCTTAAAGTACCGGAATCTTCAGATTCAAACTTCTTAATAGGGGAGATTTTAAAAATCTTAGAGGTACATTTTCGTAGCCAAGATATAGTGCCAACAGAAACAGGTGACTTTGGATCTGTTGCAGGAGACACTCCAATATTTTGCCTTGAAGAAACTAAATTTTCATTAGAATCACGCAGTATAATATCACCTGCCAATTTTGGAAGAGAAGGCACCTCTAAGTTCTCAATGTCCACAGAGGATTGTAAATCAGATAGCACAAATTCAGAGATCATTTCTCCACAGTTCTGGCAACTGCGAAGTTTCTCAACAAATTCTATAAGGCGTCGTCTTTCCACAATAAATTGTTCCCTCTGATTTTTCAGCTTTCTATTGAGGTCAACAAGTAAATCTATGTCCTCTTGCATTTCCATCCTTTGCCTTTCAAGATGTTTTTTATTCTCATCAGCTTCTTGTTTCTCCTTTTCTAACTTACTTCTTTGAAGCTTCATTTCATCCATTTCTCTATTAGCTACTTCTCTCAAGAAGTTAATGTTGTTTAATTCACTCTCTCTTTTTTCTTCAAATAACTTCTTTCTCTCAATCAAGTCCTTTTCCTTCTGCTCTAACTGATTCTGCATATCAGCTTCAAGTTCCTTTTTCTGTAGCTCAAAATCCAGAAGCATTTGGTTTCTTTGACTTAGAGCTTTTTCAGCTAGGCTTGACTTCTCCAACTCCAATTCTGCAGCAAATGATTCTTTAGCCATCGCAAGAGCTTCTAACTCCCTTTGCACATAGTCCTGAGTGGCCTGCTTCTCACTCTTTAACTTTTCTTCTTCAAATTGTTGTAGCTTCAGAATTTCTTCCTTCTGTTGAATCACACTTTTCAGCTCTTTCTCAACATCTGCTCTCTTCAGATCTAGCTCATCCCATTCTCTTTCAAAAGTCTCTTTCTGTTGTCTTAAGTCTTCAGCTTCCTTCAGAAGCAGCTCTTTCTGATGTCTGTACTGATCAACTTCATGCTTCAATTGTGACTGCAAACGCAGGTATTCAGACCTCTCCTCCTCGGTCACTTTAAGACGACCAATCTCTCCAGTTATCCTCAACAATTCTTGTTCATTATTGCTTCTTATTTTCTCAACTTCAGCCTTATGTGTGACCAATTCCTCTCTCTCACTTTCTATTTTCTTTTTCTCAGTCTCCAAGCATTTTTCCTCGAATTTAATAGATTTCTCCTTCTCCTTCAAAGCTTTTACTTTTTGTTCATACTCCTTCTCTTTCTCTTTAAGTTTCTCTGCTTTCTTTTCCAATGCTTGTTCCCGTTTTCCAACTTTCTCCTCCATGTGACTGATTTCAGCTTCTTTTTTTTCCACTTCCACCAATTTACCCTTCAATTCATCTTCAAAGGATTTTCTTTTCTCATTCAATTCCACCTCAAATTCCTGCTTTTTCGCATCAAGAAGAGTGTTGTGTTCATCAAGAAGCTTTTGCATCTCAACCTGCAAAGATACAAGCTGTTCTCAGCAGAGAAAGAAAAAGTAGAAGACTATGGGCATAAATCATTTAATAAAAAACATACTCACAACACACTGATTTTATGACCAGTTTGACAATTTTATAACAACATCTCAACTACCATATTACTCAAGAACATGCACCCAATCACTGAGCTAACTTCTGAAAAACCGAAAGTTGCAAAACAGTCATAAAAAAAATAATCAATAAAATTCAGCAACTTACATAGGACCATTGACCACCCATTGTCATAATTTCCAAAGAGCAAACATTAAGAAAATGAATTAGTATAAGAACATACTTTTTCTTTAGCATTGAGCTTTTCCTCCCATGCAGATAACTCCTTTTCTTTAAGATCCAAATTTATTCTCAGAGAATCATATTCCTGCATCAGAGGATATGGACCGATAAATTCCTAAAACCAGAATAAACAGAATAAAGATAAACAATATCCCAAACAAATATTTACCTTCTCTTTTAGAGCTATATCCGCAAGCCTATTGTTCACATCATCCTCTTTATTTCTCAGTGTTACATTAGTTGCATCAATCTTCTTCTGTGCCTCCTCAAGGTCCTTCTCTTTCTGTCGGCATAGTCTATCATTCTCATTAGCCCTTTGCTCTCTTTCGTTGATAATTCTTTGACCCTTGGCCAGCCTCTCTTCACCTTCCTGTAGTTTCTTCTCCCATTCCCGCAAGTCTTCTCTCTGCTTGGACAATGTACTCTCATGTGCTTCTTGCCTGTCACAAATAAAAATAAATTATAGGTGGAACAAATATTACAATTAAAAAAGAAAATGGAAAAATATTTAAACCAAAAAAGAGAATGAACAATTATGAGTACTCTGCAATGAAGGATAACCGATCCCTTCGAAGTGCAGATTCTTGAGACTCCAGCTCTTGTGATTTCCTATCAAACTCTGAACTCTTTCTGCTGATTTCTGCAAATTTGGCATCAGCAGAACGTAATTTGGCTTCCACTTCTAAAGATTTCTCGTCAATGCTAACTACTAAAGCATTTGCTTCAGCCAACTTTGAGTCCGCTGTAAATTTAATTTTAGCATTTTCTGACCGCATTTCTCGCAGAGCCTTCTCAAGCTGTTGATGCATAAATTTCCAAATATCAGTAAGAAACAATAGAAGAATACAGATACAGACTATCCACAAATAAGGATCATACAAGAGTCGTGCATTTTTATTTAAGGAAGAAGTTGATTCATATGTAATCATGTATGTCAAAATACTTACATCAAGAACACACTCTTTCTCAACACCCAAGGCCTTCCTTAGATTCTCTTCTCGCTTCTCTGCCTCAGATAGTGCAATTAAATGGGCAGCTTTTTCCCGTTCTAGAGCATCCTTCACTTCTACCAAATCTTGACTTAGTTCAGTATACTTAGAATTCCATTCTTTTTTCTCAATCAAGAGAAGTCCCATGTTGAATTGGTATTCATAAAGCTGACCCAGAAAAGCTTCTAATCAGATCAAACCACAAAACATAATTGATAACAAATCACAAAGTATTAAAGTTGCACAGCCACACATGCTTATCTAGTGTCCTTCAGTGTTTCATTGGTAATAGGCACAACTATGAATGACAAAGAAGATAATTAGCATATGATTGCCTGTTTTCATTAAGCTCCCCCTTTTAAATATTTTAAATTCATTTTAACATTCCTCTTAATATTTTGTAGTTGGACAGCCCTGGGTGAATGAAAATAAAAGAACAACACCTGGAGCCACCAAAATTTAGAGATAATTTATATTGAAATAAAAGTGCACTGGTTCAAACAACATATAAGCCAAAACTTAGTGTTATATAGAAGGCTGACCCCAGTTTTAATAACAGTACATCTTAAACAATACATGCAACATTGGTGGTCAATATAAAACTTCGGTAAAATAGATATAGCAGATAAAAATGCATCTCTTTTCTGTTAAATTCACAACCACATTCACTCAAACAAGACATTACTTCTTAATGATGAGTCTTCAAATACTCCATATCAATAATAATATTATTTACAAATAATGGTAAATATTCCCTTCTTTCTTTATTTGACAGAAGAGTAAAAATGTTAGTAACAAAGGATAGATAACTAAGGATATAAAATTGAGTACAAGTCAAAATCAAGAACAACAAAAAAACAACAACGAAATTAGAATTCCTAGCCTCTCAGAAATCATGGTAAATAGACCCTTCAAGAGTCTGCGGGGGGTGTCAAGTACTCAAGAGAAGCCAAATGAACTATTTCAATTTTACTCCAAATTAAACGCAAATTTGAAATTTAATTTTTGAAAATTTTAGCACTCCTCTCAATCTAAAATCACACAGGTTCAAAGACAAAATATATTAATTACCGTTACCACCAAGCTCTAATATAAATCATCACAGGTAAAACAAAAACACTCCTCCCCATTGGCCACGAAAGCAAGCAGTATACACAATCCAATTGTAAGATTTTGCTAAGTTGACTTTCCTTCAACAATTTCATAACAGCCAAACGATTTCTTAAACAAGGGAGAACAGAATTAAAATGTGGGAGAGGCACGTGAACTGAATTATCCAAAAGAATAACTAAGAACTAAATCCCCAGCAGTTAAACATCTTCAAGTCACGTTCTTATAACAAAACATAACAAGTTACCACCCCAGAATCAAGCTTCGAGTTTAAGTACCCAAACCAAGTAAACAAAAACGACAAACATATATTTTCCAGGTTCAACGAAGGACCAGGCCAGAAATTATCGCAAAAATTAAAATCTTCATAGAAAGGAAAAAAAACAAAAAAACTAACGTAACAGTAGTTCAATTTCCACCATAGTAATACACACCCCAAGATTTTCAAAATAAAAACCTAAAGCTATCAACACTACAAACTCAACCAAAAGGTAACCCTTAACTAATACTTTAAGGCACACTTCATAACAGTATCACAGCAAAACGAAAAGGAATCGCAAAAAATTAAAACCAAAAGAATAATAAAACAACAAAAAAACAAACTAATCAACTATCTAACCTCTTTCTCGAGGCTCGAAACACTCTCAACCAAAACCTCGCGATCCAAGTTGTTCCCGCCATTCTCAACTACTGCGACGACACCTTTCTCCTTCGCGCTAGCCCCATCTCCCGAATTCGGACCTAAATCCGAACCCGACCCGGTTCCACCTCGAACCCCGCTCTTCGGCGTCAGGGACCAACCTGTCCACCCCTTCTGCGGCGTAAACATCGCCACAGCCAACAGAACAGCCGAATTCTTTACTCCACAGCAACAACAAAACTCGAACCTTCGAATTCGACCTCAGCCTCGCGGCCCCATCGCAAATCGCGAAAATTCGAAACCGAAAAGCAGAAGAAAGAGAAAGGAAACCCTAACTAAGCGAGCCTCCGGACGCGACCGCAGTTCCCAAATTCCGGCGAATTGTGGATTTGAAGTCCGATAACGTCTCTAAAATTCTCAAACGGTTCTCTTCTTTCTCTCCCTACTTCTTTCTCTCCCTACTTCTTTCCCCTTTCTCTCTCCTCTTTTTGCTTTTAGCGCGGATCTATCACGTTCCTTGTTTTTATTTTATTGGTTTAATGTCTGGAGCGTGGTTGAAAGTACGAGAATACCCTTGTCTTTGTCACGGTCATGCTTCTCTCTAAGGGTAATATAGTCATTCTGCCCGGTGGCTTTTTGGTTTGAAACGTGGGTTCTCGTGTATTTTTCTCACCTGACCGTATTGCCCTTACCCACGGTTGGTAGAGTAAGAAAACCCGACAATATAACGGAAAGAAAAGTATTGGTAAACGACACACTTTATTTGTTATTGAAACAAAAAATACACATTATTTAATGCAAATTTTAAATATAATTTTTAGGTAATATATATTATTTTTTATTTCTATTAGATTTGAAGATTTAAATTAATAATTTCTATAATCAATATATAATTATACAAATTATCAAAATAAAATTCCAATTATTACAGAAAAATAACTTGTGGAGTAACTTAAAAATTTATAGAAAAGTATTAATTTTCAAAAAATTATTAATGTATTCTTTATTATTAATTAAAATGTATAAAACTACAAATTTGTGTGATATCTATTTATTTAATGATTTTGTAACTTTTAATAAATGTAACAAATAATTAAATGTATTTTAGAAAAAATCTTTTTGTTGGTAAGCATAAACTATGTAAGGTTTGATATATTTTTATTATAAAATAAAATTGTTTAAAAATGCTAAATTGTAGACTCTCTCGCACTTAATTTAATAAACATCACTGATTAGTAACATGACTGTATATTAATGGATAAAATACATTGTCTACCACAAGATTGGTTAAAAGTTGGGTTTTAGTTCATCTAAAAAATATTTAACATCTCTAATTTAAAAATGCACCATTAATTAATTTCAGTGTGGTAAGATGGTATAAAAAAAAGTTTAAATAACATATAAGCCACAAAAATGTAAAAAAATAAAATAGAAATTAATGAGACTAAAATTTGACAAAAATGTTAGAAAAAGTAAAAACCAAAGTTTAAATAAATATTAAAAAATAATAGGACTTTTTTATTAAAATAATATTATTATATTATATATATACAAAATCTGTGATGAAATTATTTACTTAATTGAACCTCTCATAAAATTATTTACTTAACTGAACTTCTTTTATTGTTATACTTGGAATTAGGTTTCCGTAAACCGAATTCCAACTTTAAACTTACCACTTTTTTTAAATAAAAAAATTAAATAAAATATATAATTAAAAATAATAAAATTAATATTAAAAATAAATTTTAATTTTAAAATTTAAATAATATTTATATAAAATAATAAAAATAATATATTAATATATATTAAATTATTTAAATATATTTAAATAATTATTAAATATATTAAATAATAAATTTTTATTATATTTTTTTATATTTTTTTTATTTTTGAATAGGAAATTTAAAATTTATATATTTTTTATTATATGAATTATTTAAGTTATAATTTTAGAAAAAATAGAATAAATAAAAATTTAATTTAGATAATATATTAAAAAATTAAATATTATATTATAAAAATTTATGTAATAGTTTTTATTTGATAAATTATAAATATTATATTAAAAAATTCATGCTAAAATTAATTTTTTTAAAATAATAAAGTAAAAATATTATTTAATTAGTTACAAATTATTATTATTAATATAAAATAAACTTAAAAATAAAAATAAAAAAATTGACAAAATTTAATGTATAATATTAAAAATAACATAATCATTGATAATAAAAATTGAAAAATAAAATTATTGACAATAATGTTAATAAAATTTTAATCTCAAAAGTGGTGTCTAGTTCCACAACGAGTACGACGTCTATTACGTTTTGGATTTACGTCGGTGTGGTTGTTCTTGAATTTCGGGAGAAATTTGTGGAGGGTTTTCTTCTTTATAAACCTCTATTATTTTCACTCTATACAAATCTTTCTACCTTTATTATTTTTATTTAATATCATGTTCTATAATTTTTATTTTGCTACTAATAACTTATTTTTAATTTTACTTTTAATATTTTTTATATTAAATTTATCAATTTTTTCTAAAACTATAACTTAAATAATTCATATAATAATAAAAATTTAAATTTCATATTAAAAAATATAAAAAATATATAAAAAATATAATAAAAAAATATTATTTAATATTTTTAATAATTATTTAAATATATTTAAATAATTTAATATATATTTAAATAATATATTATTTTTTATATAAATATTATTTAAATTTTAAAATTAAAATTTTATTTTTAGTATTAATTTTATTATTTTTAATTATATATTTTATTTAATTTTTTTATTAAAAAAAGTGATAAGTTTAAAATTAAAGAAACCGTCAAAAATTTCAGTAAATAATTTTATAAGATATTGAATTAAATAAATAATTTCATCGTATATATATAATATAATAATATTATTTCAATAAAAAAAGTAAAGCAATAGAAAGTAGTGTATTAATAGAGAATTGGTGGGAGGGTGTTTTGGTAAATGAATGGTTATTGAGTTAGAGAGAATATGGTGTTGGCAATGCCACCGTGTGATCGAGCTGTTAAGTTGGAGGAGAGAGTTAGCCAATTGGGGTCTGGAGATTAGCAAAGCATGGCATGCCCTTTGTCCCATTTCCCTTGCAACACACTCACAACCCAACACAACAACCACTGTTTCCATCTTTAAAACAAAAACCTTTCCCAACTAAAAACGATGATGCCTCTTTTTTGTCGTTTGGTGGTTTCTAAAACATAGGAAAAGAGGGACTTTGGGAAACGGAACTCATCCATGAACAAGGACTTTCCCCAATGCACCACGAAACACAACAAATCAAACAAAATAGGTAATAGATGTTATATTATGATAATGAAGATGATGATGTTCTACTTCTGGTACTCCACTTAACTATTTTATTATTACACAAAATACTCTCTTAAGTCACTACTTAATTATAGCAATGTGTTTTTCACCAAGTTACAAAGTATTTTATTTTGGATTAAGGTATTTATTTTACCTAACTGGAAATGCACAAAGATACTTCTACTTTATTCATAATAAAAGAATAATTTTAGGACAATTAATGCATTAATTACTCGTTTTATTTTTATATCTCTTGTTAGGGAACTATTAAAAAACAAAATAAGTTTTATTACCAAATCGCAAAAGATTATATCTATGCATTTGAATTAAAAAAACATGTATACTTCTGAAAATACTCAACATTTATCTATGGCAAATATTAAATATGTTTATATTTTAAAGACATTGAATATTCTGTTTTTATTTAATAGTTTTATGAAAGGGAGCAAGATTAATAATCATTAAAATATTTGTTATAAAAAACATTAATTTTTTTCTCATGCTGCTTTCATTTTTTTTATCTTCTCTTAGTATTAAAATGAATGTATAATTATATTGATTATTTTAGTAAGATTTTTACATTTATTAAAAAGTAATCTATTTATTTTATTGTGCATGTATTATTATTATTATAATTATAATAAGTATTAAGTTTTTTTCTTCCATTCTAATTGACTTATATCATTACACAAAATTTTACCAGTGATAAATTAAAATTTGAATAAATATCACAATGTGAAAACAAAAAAAATTAAATTAAAATATGAAAAAAAATGTTTTTGAAAGGTTAGCAGGAATTCCTTACGAAAAACAGCTATAACTTATCACTAGTTTTTTTTTTTAATTCCTATAATTATAATCAACAACACCAATTAATGCTATGCCTAAAAAAAATAAAACTAAGGACTATTTTTCTATACTTTATTTGGTCATGCATGTGAGAATTTATATAAATGGGAATGAAAAAGAGTACTTGATATTTTGACAACTAGAAATCATACAACTCTTCAAACAACTCACTTTTATTAATATAATAATCTATAGACTGATTTAATAAAAATAAAATAAAACTATTATTATAATATTAAAACAGAGTTGTTTACGGGAGTTGTATGGATTTGAGTTGTCAAAGTATCATTTTCCATGAAAAAAAGGGTAAGAACTACAAAAATAATTTTACCCTCACATGATTAATATATATTTTTGTAATCCTATATTCAGAAAAGATAGCTCATTTGTATTCCACTCTTTTATTTCAAATTTACTCACACTCTTCCCACCAACTATTTTGAACTAAATATAAGTATAAGAAATATCATAATAATAAACTTAAATATAAATAAATGTAATTAGTTATATCATATTAAATTATATCATTCATAAAATACTTTTAATTTTATTTAATTTAATTTTAGTTTTATTTTCAATATTTTTATTTATAATATAAAATTTTAATGAAAAACTATTTTTAATTAAAATTAGTTGAATCAAATAATGTTAACCAAATTTTTAGTTAATATAACTTAAATATATTTTATACTTGATATAAAAAAATATGTTTTCTTTTCAACCTATTTCTTAGGTACCAACTCTAATGATGTTACTTAATTAATTAAAATTAGAATGATAAATAATTCATTTATCTCTTTTCTATCCACATCTAAGTTCACTTAATTTATTATACATTACACAAATTTTTAAAACTAAATCAAATCAAATTTATGCATTTAATTTTATGGATAGTTAATGATTCATTAATTATTTCTCAAAATTAAATGAATTATCTATCCTTTATCTCTCAAAATTTAATGAATTATCTACCAATATATAACATATTAAAATTAATTCAACCATTTTCTTTATTAAATCTTTGTTTATTTTTTAATTTAATACAAATTTTAATTTTGAACTTTTAGAAATATAATTTCAAAATCTATTGTTAAACTAATTAAAATATATTTTTTTATAAATGGATTAGATCATATGAAAGTTTAAAGATTTACGGATAAAATGAACTAATAAATTTTGTTTTGAATAGATTATAATTGAAGGTAAAATTTATTAAATTCATCCATTAAGTAATCAATAGAAAGGGAACCAAATAAGTTCCACCAGTACAACTTAATGTCATACAAAGAATGAATGAGTTATAGAAAACTGGACACCTGGTCACCATTGTGATAAGTTGAACCATTTTATAGAGACACTCGTTGATGGACAGAGAGTGATTGGACATGAAATTGCCCTTCTTCTCACATGCCAACCGCATTTAAGAGGTCGCCTCCCAGTCTTTTCCTGCAACAATCATTCGTTTTCCACGTAACTTTCCAACGTAATTTAACTATATGTTTGGATCCGATATAAGGACTTCAAACCACGTTCTTATACTAACCATACCTTGCAGATAAAGTTTAAGTGACTGTTTTGGTTAACATTTTCGTGCAATTTTCTTTGTTTAGCGGTTAAAGCATTCACGTGAAACAAAATTATTCAGTGACAGTTTCACCAGTAACTCGTGGTGATCGTGATGATTTTAATAATCAAAGAAACCAAAAATTGGGAATGCATGGCCAAAATTTGAAGACCACTAAAGGAAGTGTTACAAGTGAGAATGCATGGCCAAAATCTGTCAGGAGAGGCGACAATCCACACTCTTCACTGCGACAGGTGAATACGGACAAGCGTCCAAAATTTTGAAAAGAAAGAAGAGAAAGTTACGTTTACAGTAAGATGGCATCATCACAGCCTTCACAAAACTTTTCTTGCTAAAATAGGGACTTCGCATATGCATACAAAATTTAGATGATCCACATTTGAAGCATTCATATCCACACATGCTCTCTGCTATACTCCCTTACAATCACAGGTACACTTGTGGGTGGGACCTGCCAAGGTTAAATTGTTAAATCTTTTTTTTTTTTTTTTTTATAGTAAATCTATACTAAGTGATAAAGGTTTATAAGGAAATTGCTCCTGAAGACTACAAGCAATGCATTTATTTTATGACAGAACAAGAGAGATATATTATGAGGATTAACCTAGTTTAAATTCTTGGCGTCCACTGTTTTACTTAATATACCTTTTTCATCTATTATTACTTTTTCTAATATTTAGGAGGAAGGATACATTTTTTTTTTTCCTTTTATCCTCTTGGATTTTCTTAGTCCAAATTGTTATCTTCATCCTGATTGTGTCATTTTACTAAAAATAGTGAGACAGAATCCAAACTAACGTAGGGGTGGCCCGAATAAGGCACACTTTAGGTATCTGCCAACAGAAACTAAACAACTCTTCTTCAATTATAGCACTTACCATGCCATAATCTGTAATTATCATGGATACGTAATCTGACGGTGTTGCATCATAGCTGGCGTTAAAATAGAAAATCGCAGGGTCAGAGTAAGGAAATGACAATTTTGGTTTTGTATTACGTAAATATAAATGCCTCACATCAGATTTAGAAGCTGCAGATTTTCAGTATTGGCCCAAGCTTCCAAGTGGTTGACATCCTCTCTACTCTGAACTGTAGAAATGATGTCTGGATTACCTGTACGAAAATCATAGAAGCATCAACTTTTTTCCAGACATAAGACAAGAGATCAGTATAATGCTCGTCATCTGTCATTGTTTACATACCAAGTTCATTTGAGCAAATGGAATCATGCTGCACCCTTTCATGAAATTTATACGCCTCACAACACACTAAAACAGGGACACGGAATGCATGGGCAACCATTGCAACACACGCAGTCCCAACTCCAGAATAAACTGTTCCATTAGACAACACTGATGAAGCACCCAGAAATACTCGAGTAACTTCATTCATTATGTAGGAAACAGCATTTATATGAGTGTATGTACACCTAAGACCTTTCTCCACCAGCCTACGAAGCAAAAGTTTCCCTCTAAGTCTTGGACGAGAGTCTACCACTACAACTCGAAACTGTTTCCCTAACTCGTGTGCATGCAACAGTATCATTTCAACTGCTGATGAAGACCCATAAGTAAGAAGAACATCACCGTCCCTTATTTTTGTGATAGCATGCTTGACTATCACCTTGTTGGCAAGTATAATTTTCTCGTTTATAAAACGCTCAACATCTGATTGAAGAGAGGTTTTTGACTCTGACTCAGACAGCGTCAAAGGTAGCTTGGCAATTCTACTTTTGAGAAATCTAATTGCATTGCCCATACTGATAGAAAGTGGTCGACACTCAATGAGAAAAGAAACATAACTACTTAATTTTGCCGTCAAGTCTCTCACCAGAGTCTTCTCGGTTGGAACCCTGTAGTCTTTAATGGCCTCTTGAAATGCTTGAAGCATAGCAATACAACGAGCATTGCCACCAGATATATCTCCAGACAGATACTGCAAACCTACCTGATAATCATCATTAAGACCATAACGGTTAAAGGAAAATACATATAAAAAGGGCCAAATTTACAACGCAAATAGATCCAGGTCTTAACAACTAACCTTTCCTGTATCTGCTGCAACAGCATAAATAAATTTTAATGATGAATTCATGATTCATCTTATAGTATCTCCATGCATACAATCGGTTCCAAGACACAATTTTTTCAGTCTAGATGTTATTTAGGATGAACTTTTAACTTTCAAATAGTATAGTGACCTAGACAAAGCAGTGCAAGAAAAAAATTAAAGAGGCGTGAAATCATTTTGAGCCTCATAAAAATTGAAAGAAATTTAAGGACAGTAACTCTTCATACTATTTTATATTCTTGCCCAGCCTTTGTTCTCATATGAACCATGGAATAGATACTTGCTTTAACCTTATGTGTTTTGCTTCAAACATATTATTACACTAAATCTAGTAGTACTTGGTTCGTTCTTAACTTCTCTTCCTTCCACTTGACTCCTATTCTTGTCAATATCAACCCAAAGAAATGAAGGCTGCATTGTTGGAAACAGTCCAATATATAACCAATAAGGTATAAGTTGTACCGCTATCATTGTAAACTACAAGGTAGGATTTAATTTTCTATCAACTGTCCACTTCTAAATGTTTTAGACACCTGAGAACCATGTTACTATCTAAATGACTGTTTGAAACTTTAACTGCAAGTAAAATACCTACATTGTTGGAGACAGAATAGAATTACCCTAGCAGTGGATGTGATGCATCATCATGCAAAATTTCAACCATCACACTGCAAATGATATTAAGCGAGTGTTTGATGAACATGCAAATTTCAGCAATGAGCTTTTATTGTTGAAAAGTCAAAAACAAACATATAAATTTAAATATTGGAAGAAACTTAAGTGTTGAAATTGTATTCAATGAACTATTAGAATCTAATATAGTACACAAGGCTAGGCATAAAGAAACCATTTCCATTTAATGATTTAAACATAAAAAGTGTTGCAGCTGAATTCAATAAATGAATGCTTTAGGAACCTTTTCACTCTAGATTGTGTTAAACACTATTAAATTTGATGCTGGATCCTTCTGTTTTCAATATTCAACTTCATATAGGACAAGGAATCTCATTTATCATGTGGTATTATGTAATTGTTAGACTATGAGAAGGCATTATTATGCAATTGTTAAGCTATGAGAAGGCATTAGAACATCACATAATCACATGTATTATGAAATGATGGATCCTGACCCGACCGCATAAGAAACATGAATTATAACAAGATTAAACAGAAGAATGGAAAAACATGGCTACCTTATAAACAGCAGGATGCACAGGGCCAAGCTGGAAAAACTTTGCCTCGAGATCAGGGAGCTGACTCCCATGTTCATACTGCGGCAGATGCCTGAATAGTTCAACCCTGTTCTTAGCCTCAGTTTGTTTTACGACAGCGCGCCGTTTGGCTTTATCCACTCTGCTTTTATCATCATATTGCATACGTGGTTGAGGAACATCTTTCTTTCTATCTTTTTCTTGTGGACGATCACCCCCTTTCTTCTCAGAGGCTGCAACTGAAGCATTATCCACTTTTTGTGGGAGCTTTGCAGCTCTAGCTGGTTTTACATTCACTGAAGCAAGAGTTCCAGATGCCTTATTTCCTTCAGCTAACAATACATAATATAAAAAAAGCACGAACTAATGAGCAGAGTCAGTCACAATGAATATTTTAAGAAAAATATTTGTAAGATCCCATCATAAATTCCCAAGTCAGGCTTCCTAAAAAAAATGTGTCAGCTCTTATACAGTGGGTTTGAAGAAGCTAGATCCAAGGACCCAAATAATAACAGTGCGACATTTCAACAGGAAACGTAAAATAGACAGCCAAACTATCAAATAGAAATTTCAATTCACTTTTTGAGTTTGCAGAGAAACTTCAAGTTTTCACGATCTCTAGCTGAAAAGTTTTTATGCTTAAAATAATCAAGAACAACATGCACTAATCTCAATCAAACAAGGGCACGTTAAATGCTAATACACACCTTTTGCAGCAGCTTTAGCAGCTCGTTGAGCTTCTTGAAGAGCTCGTCTTTCAGCTTTTGTGGTCTTTTCTTTCTTCTGTTTAGCATTCAAGGCTTGGTCTTTCACTTCCACTGCTGATCCTCCTCCTTTGTCTGCTTTCTCTCTTTCTAAAGGGGATTAAATGCTTAAATATCAAATCATAACTTCTGATTGTCAAAAATTCCTTAAAAAACATTCAAGAAAATAAAAGACGACGAGAAGCAGAATGAGCATGTTATGATGACAACTAGGCAAGCTGCAAGCGTGTAGTGCGGAACGGCCTATCTGATAAAGCCCAAACAATACTATACTGTAAAACGTTCTTGCTATTGACATGCACAGTAGAGTTGACTTGCACTCAAGAACCTATCAAAAGTTAAGTCTAGAACCTCAAGGATACTGAAAAAGCAAGGATACAAGCCTTCATTCCTTTTAATTAAATGCAACCATAAACATCCATAACTTCCAATGTGTTGACACAAAACTTTATCAACGATCATAAATATTGAATTGAAATTTCATTCACTTTCGCAAACAAGTTTAAACTCAAAGCTTGTCGATTCGACGATACAAATAACCAAACTAAGCAAAAGCAGCAAAAGCTCACCGCGAATGGCAAGGGAATCAGCATTCACCACCGCACCCGTGGTTAATTCGCTCGCCGGAACGCTACTGGCCTTCATCGCCGTCAAGTCAAACCCGCCGCGAGGAAACGAAGATGCCACCTTACCGCTGTCGAAGAAGTCTCCGTCGTCGGCGATGGTCCTGCTCGAGTAAGAGGACGGCGCCGGAGACATCGGAGCGGGGAAGAACTCCGACGAGCTGGAATAGCTCCCGGCAGTGACGGATTCCTCGCCAGAAGGAGAAGTCGCAGCGGGACGAGCATGGAGACTGAGACTCTCCGACGAATGGCGTGGCGGCGGGATCATGACCGGCGAGAGGGAGTTGGCGGTGGGAGAGATGTCAAATGAGATCGGGTCGGGTGGACCAGATCGAGAACGGTCAGGCGGGGCGAAAAATCCGACTCTGCGGACCTTAGGGTCAATGACGGCGCGTGGAGCTCTACGCGCTTCCATGACGAAAAACGTTGTTAGGTTAGGTTTTGTTTGAGTTTACTAATGTTCGGAGGGTATCATGTTTCGGTGGCAGGAAAAGGAAAACTAGCAGACTTTACTTTATTTTTCTTCTCTCTTTTTGGAAAAACTTATTGAGCGAGATTTTTTGAGCTTGGAATTGAAGTTGAAGCAGCCAGAAAATGATAAAAACAACAAATAGAATTGTTTGTCTTTTTTTTCCAACATGGGTCTCACTGTGAATAATGTATGTCTTAGTTTGATGGACAATAAGTCTCAAATTTAAATTTTATAAATAATAAATGAATACCAACAATATTAAAGTATTCTCTGATTTATTTTGGAAAACAATATGAAAAAGGAAAACATTAAATTATATAATTGTTATTAAAAGTTTTGAATACTTTTATCATCAACAAATCCGTTGTCGTCCAGCGGTTAGGATATCTGGCTTTCACCCAGGAGACCCGGGTTCGATTCCCGGCAACGGAATTTTTTTGTTTATGGCTTTAAAAAAATTGTTTCAGGTAATTCACAATGAATGTTTTAATATTCATTTAATTTTGGGAGTTATTTAAAGATTAAAACAAACTTTTTTATAACAAAAATATATTTGAACTCATAATAATTGGATTAAGTTTATTATAGAAACATATTAGGCCTCATATTTATATATACTTCACCATGTACAATTTTAATGGTGCAGTGTTTTCTGAAAAACTAGAATCTCAGTCATGATTGCAACGAAGGGTCTACTTCTGAGTTTTGTTAAATTAGTTTCTGGCTTGGTTAATGATTAATGAATGTTGAAAGAGATTTTCATGATTGGCCTAAAGATAGCTAGGGTTAATGTTTCTAAATTTAAAATGCATGCAAGGGTTGGTCAAAATTGTGTTCCTGACAGTCAAAGAAAATCAAGAAATATAATTGCTGTTAATCAATGAACAAACTGGAAATTCACGTTAAATAAAGGACTTGCACGGTTGCTGCTGGCAGCTATAGGTTTTCATTACATTAGGTCAAAGTTACTTATAATCAAATTCTTACACAAAGTGTTATAATTTATGATAAAGTGAAAAAGAAGAGAGATAAACATATAACTAATGTGATTAAGAAGAATGATGTGATAAAAGAATAGAATTATTAAACTAGCTAGACAAAAACTGAATGATTGAAAATCTAAGAAAGATAGATAGACTCTCTCAAAACGAAGGTGTGTGTAGTGGTAGTGTAGGTAAAGCTGGTTAGGTAAATAGTGATAAATAAGGTGAGTAGGTAGCTAGTCTTCACATTCTCATAATTCACATGAGAGCCAGAAAAATAGCTGAAGAAAGGGATGGGTCATGAACTATGTCTACCTTACACAAACCAATGAGACAGTGCTGTGTATATGCAAACGTACCAATTTCGAAATTTCTGAAGGATCCACCTTAGTCAGACTAATCTAACAATATCATTTTCCCAAATATAATATTGTCTTTCCCCTACCTGTGTCTCTGTGTGTGCGCTCAGCATATCAGCTCTTTTTGCAGCAAAGTTATATTTTATTTGCTGCTACATACGGCCCAGAGTGAAAGACAGACGTACAACTTCAGCACCGGGGTATCTGCATGCCATGCACTTAACATCATCATCAATAATCATATCTATGTACATACATTTTTATCAATTACCAAAAAAAAAAAAAAAAATCATAAAATCATCCTCAAATTATCTTTCACGTGTCTTGCTTGCTGTCTATTCGAAGCGATGATACTCATCCTCGAACAAGCTAAGATATCAGTTTCTGAGGTAACTTCTTTCCTCTGTGGTGTTTTATTTGTATTGTTAGGATGAACACTCTGTCATATTCTCCAAGAACTTAGAATATTAGTGACTTTAACAGTCTTTGTTTAGTGAAAATTTGTTAATATGGTCTTGTTAATCTATCAATAATGTATATATAGTAAATTTTTATCAGTTTTTTTATTTCGTAAATTGTTAAAATTTGAACATGTGTTATGTTATGCAGACGCTGGTTGTGACGATAAATAAGTACTAGTCAAAGACCACTTAATATTTTTCTCATTGTAGCTCTCACTTTTCCTATATATGGTATAGGGAGCCATAGAGTGCCAGAACCTAAAGTAAGTAATGGTTTTTGGTAGCATGCAGAAGAAATTACCAAAACATGCAGTAAACGAACACTACTGCAACGAGTATGTAACCTAACCTCATGTGCTCTCTACCTGTTAGTGTAAGTGCCCTCTTTGCTATAACTCTCAGGACTAGTGATGAGGCTTAACTAGATCTCTCTCTATCTATCTCTCACTCTCGAGGTTATTGCCACTCTGCTTTTCAACAGTTCTTTCCAGGAGTTTCTTCTCTTGAGGTTGTTTACGTACAGTACCAGCTGCTTTCTGTGATGACTATTATGCTGCTTCTGTTCAACAAGTTCTTCTTGTAGGTAAACTATACATGTACTTTCATTCATGTTCTTTCTCACTTAATTGGTTTTTCTTTGATAAATAGTACGAGCTTATGTTTCCATATAGTGCATATTGTTGTTCAAGAGCACTCTTGGCTTCTTTGTTCCTTAATTCTGTTTTATATGAGACTGCTATGAAGTCTTAATTGTTGGAAGTTATATCAAGACAATATATATATATACAACATCATGCTGAGTTTTTCATTGCTTACTTCTGCTAGTTTTAATCATATTGGAGATTTTCAGTTCAGTTCTTTGTTTATAATTTATGAAATGTTAATCGACGAAGTTAAAAACATGTATTTCAGTGTCTGGTGTATGCTAAAGGAATCAAAATAATAAGAGGATTATTATCCCCCATAGATCTCATCCATTTCAATGCGAGTCTTTACTCTTTATTTATTGATTTCATATTTTCAAAGCTTGAAATCCGTTTCAAGAAAAAAGAAGAAAACACTTTCACAATGAAATTGGCAAGATCATTGCCATTTTAATTTTTTTTTACATGTGTTTAAGTTTTTTTAGTTCAATAAAAAATTAATATCACTTTTCCATATGAAAATTAATTAAAACTATAATAATCTTAGACCCTAATAATTTTTAGCATAAAAATATGTTACAACTTTTCTTGATCATCATTTTTAACTTAACTAAATATTCAAAATTATTGATTAATTAAAAAATAATAAGTGTGGTACATTTCATGTTTAATTGATCAAATTATATATATATATATATATATATATATATGTATGTATATATAAATTTGTGTACCTCTCAAACTTAACTTTTAATTAAAAAATGGTATATCAAAATCTGTATAGTACATGTTTTTAATTAATGTTTTTTCAATCTTTTCTATATTTATCAACTATTTTATTTATAATATCTATTTTTTTATTAATAAACACCAATTAAAATATTGATAGGATAAATTGATTTTAATATATTAAAAATTACTCACAGATTTTTTACATTAAAAGTGTGTATTTTTTTTCTTTCTCTTTTTTCTTTTGATATATCCTGTGCGCAGATTAGGCTAGAGTATTCAATAACAAATTTTCTTGTAACTTATCACTGCACCTAGATAAAGTTATCACTCTGCAGACTGTTATATATATATATATATATATATATATATATATATATATATATATATATATATATATATATTTATCGATTGTATTTAATATGTTGTAATTATGATATGTTTTGATCTCTTACTTTTTGTCACAAGCCAATATTCAAATCTCTCTCACAGCTTTTGAGGTGAAGATGATGGGTTTTTTTATGAATGAATAAAAGAGGAGACAACGTGGAAGCGAGCCAATGTATAAAGCTCACTGCCATCTGGTAAGTAATCATTATCTTTTCTTTTCTGTTCCTTTTTACATAATTAAAAGTTTTTTGTTCCATACTCATTCTTAGTTTAACGTTTTTTTATTAAAAAGTCATCTAAATCCTTATGTGAATTATAATCGAAATCAAAAGAAGGATGATACATCCATTGAATATAAAAATTACATTAAACCCTTGGACGAGCAATTAACTTTTCTGCATATTATTGATGTTCAGAAAATTTTGCATGGATGTAGCTTGAAACATGTATGAAACTATCTGTGTGTAGATTTAAAATGGACTACCTCAGAAACGAGGTGCAAGCCACGAAACCAATAAAAGCTTAAGGTATCAAAGACATAATAACACTGATTCTTCCCTGGTTTATCTGGTTAAATTTAAAGGCTTCACTCTCAAGGAGGAGAAGTTAAAACAAGCTATATTGGTAGTTGAAATGTTATGCAGAGTAGTAACTTGGTGTAGTTGCATGCTTTTATCAGTGAAAGTAACTGTGGCAGAGTATGAAGATTAAGAAACTATACCTTTATGTAATTAAAATCAGTATGAGTAATGTATTTTTTATTAGTGTAGGTTAACTAGACCATGCTTTATGTTCCCTGTCTCTCATTATGTGTGTTTGTTTGTGTGATTTTATATTGTAAAAGTACAATGGAAACTAGGCATTTTATGTAGATGATGATGGTTAGGTAGGGTGCAATAGAAATCTAATGAACCTAAACGTACGAATATATAGCATAGGACATTTTTTTTTGGCTTAGAATTTCATAGTTGGGATGATTTAGGTAACAATAAGATCTCCTCGTCCTTACCTTTCAGTACCTAACTCGCCTTCAATAGTACTATTGTTCTGATTAATTAATATAATAAAGGCAAAAAGTTCAGTACGAATTCAAATCTTCACTGTGAAATTAATCAGTCAATTGCTTCAAATCTTCATACTTAACTAGCTTATATGTACATTGACATTATTGAGAATTAGGTTAAATAAAGATGCTCTTTAATTCATAGAAAACTTGTATACTGAGTAATATGTAACATATTTAATAAAATATAATCTGTTAAAGTAAAACTCTAATTTTATTGGAGAGCAGAATCTACTATACTTATATTGTATATAAATTTTCTCCGTTTAATTCAACTATTTGGTACAACTCACTAGCAAATTATGAGAAAGATATATATGGTAATTCATAACATTTATATAGTACAATTTTAAAATATACCTTATAAAAAGAGAATATCTATTTAAGTTATAAAAAAAATAACAAAAAAATGTGTATGGTAACTCTTTTAGGAATAAATATTACCATGGTTGGAGATATTCTCTAAGTGCATATTTTGCTAATCTTATTTTATTGGAAAAAAAATTGTTTGATTTATCAAGTTAGAGAATTTTAAAAGTGAACTACTAATTACTTGGAGAAATTAATAATGTTAACCAAACAGATATATATGGTGAAGGGAAGTGTAAATAGAAAGTTAAATATGTCAGAAATATGTAGATTAATCAGATTCTAAGGACAAAAAGATATAATAAACTGAATGAGAACTAAACATGTAAGTATAATTTTACTAAATCCATTGGTAAAATGCCCTTGTTGTATTATGCTATTGTGTTATATTCTGATTTTAATCTATTCCAGATAACTAATATTTTTGTCTTTATGTTGTAGTGCTTTACATTCAAAGAACTACATTATAGATTTGAAAGTTGGATAAGAAGCAAAGGCATGGCAACAAGAAAGGAAGACCAAAAGGAACGAGGCAAGTCTGAGAACATACCTCCAAACATGACCCTATTAAATTTCCTTTACTGAAAGCTAGACAAGTAAGTGCATATCATTTTCTTTCAAACACAGTTTACCAAGAGGGATATTTAAAAATAGGATGGAATTGTTGCTTGAAATCAAATAATTTGTCTTTGAGAAAGATATTTAAAAATGAGTTGATTTTTGTTTTGGTGATAAACTAACATACTTTTAATGGTTCATGCTTGTGTTTATGCTTGAGTTTGTTGAAGCTGCTGATAATGGTTCACTTCTTCACCGTTTGTATAACAAAAAATTATCTGCTAATATTGTCCTATATGCACAGTTTTAAAACAGTTTGAGATATTACTACTAATGTATGCGTGTTAAAGAAGTACTTTTTAAGATCTTGTTTGTTTCTACTTGGCTATCACTCATAAACACTCGAGCATATTGGATTTAGGCCGGTTAAGTTTACAATCAATGATTCATGTTTTCAGTTTCATAGAGGTTAGTTTTTACTTTTTACACATAAGAACGCAGATAAGGGAACTTTCGAGAGTGTTTTCTACCATGAACATTCCTTGGCAGTGTCCTTTTGGTAACATTTTCATTAATTTGGTTACCTAAATGGAAGAATTAAAACCTAAAAATGTTCAAACAGTAAAGAGTTATAAATATCATGAAATTTGAGTGAAAAAAATCCTACAAATAACGAAGAATATGAGGTCAGACTTTTCAATATATTTGTTGTTTGTTAGATTTTTTTTTCACGCAATTTTTACCATATTTGAGATTACTTTTGGTTTGAAGCTCAGTTAGATTTTATTTATGTAGTTGAATCGAATAGAACAATTTCAATCAATAAAAAATGTTTTAAATGTCTTAAATTTGAAATGATTACTTTGCCACAATTGATCCAAATTTTAAAAAAAAAAAATAGAAATTGAAATATTTTTTTTAAAGATAAAACAAGTCTTTGCTGAAACTTCAGTCGAACATGGTTCCTCAGTGTTTTGAGTCCAATTAAACCTTGATATCTTCTTCTCTTGGATTTCAACGAAACTTCTGATGCAATTTTGAATTGTACTGGCCTAAAATTCTGAGTTACAAACATTGAATATTATGCATTGACATGAGTTAGACCTTTCTAGAAACCTTTATACTAGATTCTATTCTAGCTATCCTCCACCTAGCTAGTGAAAGTTCTATGGCTTTAGGGTTGTCTAAAAGATTTTATCAGACCTTTTTTTGCTGGCTATCTAGAGAACATGTTGACATGACTCTTACTAGTGTACGCATTTTTTCCTCTTCTAGTTTTCTTACAGAAACCAACCACCACTTCACAGATACATTATATGTAAGTGCGAGTATATCTTCACCATAAAAAAAAAATTGAAGAATATCTCTGTGTAAGACTAGATATGTTAAAGGCATGAATCCTTTTGAACGGTGCCTCTGAGCTTATTGGACGCCCTAATTTCTCCATCAAACACAAACTATACTAAATTACAGGAAAACATGATGGGAGAGTGGTTTAATGTTAATTACCAAGCAGAGGACACTGCAACATAGATAGTGGTTTTTTAAAAAGTTCTGACAAACTCATTGTTATAAAGCATTTAGTGCATGGAATCCGAAGTGCTGAACTAATTACTATTTGGTTAGAATACAAAATCTGTAGCATTAATTCAGTTCACACTGAGAAAGAGATGTTGCAATGACTACGTACATGATGCAGCCAAATCTTACACAAGCTGCAAATATATATTAAACAAATGCAAACTTAACTAAAATGTTCCAGTAATATTTACATGATCATCATTTACCCTGCTCTTTGTGGTCATTAAGTACATATTGTTGTTTTCTCTGACAATAGATATCTTGGAATTCTAATGAAAAAATAGCTATTATCTATGGACTCTGTCAAGAGAAAAACCTCTTAATTTTTTAGGGGAAGAGTGCTAATAAAATGAAGATTTATAAATTTTTTGGATTCAAGATGATTAACGTATATAAGACATTGGTGGAAACAAAAAATATATTTAATAAAAAAATACTTATTATGTTAAAATATTAAAATTATCTAATTTTTTTTTAAGCTGGTGAAAACACTTGATAGAGTGTTTTAAATGGTTATATGCTACTTGTTAGCAGGCACAGTAGTTAAATTAGCAAATTCTCTTATCCCACCAAGCCTTCAGATATTATAAACATAGACAATGATTATGATGAATAAATTTACAATTGAAAAAAAAATTATCAGATGCTTTTAGCTTGAACCTGTTGAAACAGAAGAGTGTGTTTGAGATGAGCAATGTGTGAAGCTTACTGAAGTACAGATGAATCTAGGTTTGGACATTCTTGTGTGATTTTATATTGTATCAGTTATGAAATTTTAAGGTGGAGAATTTAGACATGTTTGTTTATGTATATTTAAGCGTTATATACTACATATTTATCTAAATTTATTGGCTGAAAATTTTCAAAACGGAAATTTTCTTACAATATGATCTCTAAGTTAAATCAGCAGATGCATATAAATAGTTCAGAACTCAATATGAAAAGCTAAAAGATCTTGAATTTTCTTTTGTACATCCAACGACCAAAGGATTTAGCTAGTTTAAAAGTTTCCAACAATACAATATATAAATTGATATATATATATATATATATATATATATATATATATATATATATATTGATCATAAACTAATTATGTAAACATTGAAATCTGCTACAGCAAGAAAGGACGGTTCTTTATAAATATAATAGACCCTTATATAATAGCAGCCACACTAAAAATACTGGTCAGAAATTATACACGCAGCATCCTTTTTGGCCAACTGTTACATTCCCTTGGTTGATCTAGAGCAAAAAATCAGTACATTGTAGAAAGGAAATATAGGACAACAAAAGTTACAGGTAGAAAACACAGAAAGATTCCTCCATGATCATGATATTCTTTGGCAAAACACTAGAGACAATCATCGGAGAATACTGAAAATTAACAGATTAGGTTGGATGAGGATTGATGCACTCCTCCCAAGATTTTCCAAAAATTTGAAGCCCTAAAAATCAAAACAAGTATCACAAAGATATCATTAAGTGATTTCAAGGGGAAAGAAAGAAAATCAGGCACCTGTTCGTGAAAATAAAAACTTACCTGTTGATAAATTCGTGCTGGCTATTGCACAAAAGGTGGAGCGTCCATTGGCAGCATTATTAACTTCCCAATTTGGCGACCAATTTTGGAAGGAGTGGTAGTCAGTGTTGTTTAGACTTGCTTCCTTAGGAGCCACAACGTTTTGGTGATGAATGGAAGAGATCAGAGAGTGTTTCAACTTTCTCTTGATTACAATGGATTCCTCAATAACGTTGAAGTCATCACCTCTTGGCACTCCTTCACCCTCTTCTTGAGAATGAGGTTGAAGGGGTGACCTTAATTGGTTCAAGATTTGATGATTTTCAGTTGCAGGGCACTTTTTCTTCAACTCTTGCACCTTCCCTTCTCCACTGCACAATATCTTGCTACTAGTCCTTTCCCTTGCTCTTGCCCGTGCTTTTTCCCTTGATTCCTTCATCTTTGCTTTCACACGATAAGCAGGTCCTTTCAACTTCCCTTCTTCCAAGTCTACCCCTTGCTGTTGTTGTTGTTTTTGTTGGTCTTGGTGGATCACAGAAACCACTTCACCATCCGAAGATGAGGAGAATTCGAAGCTATCCACACTGCGCTTGCTTTGAGTTAGCTCCTTAATTGCCTTCTTGGACTTTGTGAAGAGCCAGTCAAGGGTGTTGCTGGCTTTATCAAACCCTAACATGTCTTGAAGATCGAAGAACTTGCGTGCGATCTCAATGGACAGTCTCACCCTTCGGTCCCTCAAGCCCTGAGATGTGTAAATCTTGCTGTGCCTGTCTTTCTTGGTTGTTTTCTTCGCTGGTTTTTTGGTGATGCCATAAAGGGCACCACTGAGATCCTGATTGAGCATTGCAGCAGCAGCACAATCTGCAACTGCCCAATTGGCTAGCGTTTCAGGTATTGGAGCATGATAATGAGTTGGTATGAAGGTAACAGCAAGTGGATCATGAAGAAAGGTGTTACTAGACGAAGAATTTTCAGGGTGAAGAAAAGTGAAAGAAGAAGAAGAAGATGAAGGAGGGAAACGAGGGTAAGAGCCTGAGGAGGTATAATTAGAGGAAGGGAACATCTTACATAAGCAGATTTTGTAATTTCCAATGGATGACAGAAACCCTAGACAGCTTTCTGTGAAATGAGGACCACACCAAACGCAGAAGAGGTTTCTTATCTAACTTCCTACTCAGCTTCTTAGCTCTAAGAATACACTTTTTTTTTAAAACAATATTAATGTTTCTGTATAATGGATATTAACCATTTGCTAATCGAATACTATAGAACATCCGAGGAGAGAAAGAAAGTGGTTTGAGAAAGAGATGAAAGGTTTAGGCCCGTGATGGAACTGTGGTTTTCTTTGCACAGTTTCCGCTAAACTTCGAATACGGCTCCATATTTACCAGGGTGTGGTGGTGCAGGACCATGCTCATTGGTACCAAAGGGGTGGGGACTGTAGAGAGAGAGAGAGTGAGAGTGTAGTATGTGTGAGGAACTCATAGGATAAGACACACATAACTGGTGGATTGTGTGCCTCATTATGAGCAAGCAATGTAAACAGGAGAGGGTCAAATCATTCAGCTTTTGAGCTCGTTAATGTATGTGTTATGTAAATCATACGTATATGGGTTTGATTCTTTGCCGTGGCGTGGATGCGTTGGGTTTAGGGTTAAACTTGGGTTGCACTTTGAACAAATCGGGTTCAATTTGAAAGTAGGTTTACGTAGATAATCATGATTTTTTCTTCTATGTTAAGTTATTTGCATAAATATTTTAACAAAAATAATCTATGAAATGCAAACATTTTTAAATAAATATAAATATTTCTTCTATTTTCTCTTCCACTTCTATTATATATTTTTATCAATTTTTATTTTAATTTGGAGGTGTGTTTAAACACTACAACTGAGCCATAGATTGTAAAAATAATATGTTTGCAAAAGCAAATTATAATTAAATTGTATTAATAATGAATAGCTTAACACAATTCATATACAACAAAAACAGCTTAACACAATATCTGAAGTAGTATTTATTGGTAAACTCTTTCCATTCTGTGTTCAACGGTACTAAAACTAGTACTTATAAAAGTATATACATGTTTCTGTTTTTCTGCTGAAAAATTAAAGGAGGCAAGAGTGACCTTTTTCTGCAGAAGAAATTACTGAGTGAGATTGGATTCACTTTTCCCAAGGGAAATGAGGTTAAGAAGTGTAAATAGAGTTGCAACGGTTTCTCATTCGGCCCAGATTTTATCATTTTACATTAAACCTTCAGAAAAGAGAAAATTACCAAGGATAGGGATTACCACAGAAAATATGGTGCAACTGTTTCTAAGGTGAATTTTGAAATCAGTTGATAAAGAATTACGTAAAAGAGTCCCATCATTTAAAACTCATAATATTTAAAATATGTAAGTTAAGTTTATTTTTGTGAATAAGATTTTTTCTAAGAAATAAATTAAGTTATTAATATAAATAAAACTGTACACCAATTAATAACATTATTTCTTTAGTGTGACAAATCTTAATTAGACTAGAAGTGTTGTAATTAAAAATTTTATATTTACATAAACTAACTCAATGACGTCCCAATTAGACTGAGGGTGTTCATAGTAATAAAAAAAAGTTATATTTACTTAAACTAATAATGGTTAATAAAATTCAGTTTATGTATTTTTGGTTTACATGTTATCATAGTATTAATTGAACCAAAGTGTAAGTAATCTTCATTTACACATCAATGAAGGGTAATAATAATATTCAACTTGGAGGGTAGTAATATTTCAAAACTCTAAACCCTAAATTTATATGATTAACTGTTTAATATGTTGTTTATTTGTAACTATTTTTTAGTTATGACTATCCTTAAAAAAATCTTGTTGTGTTAATTGAGAAAAATAATTTACATTTTGTTTGTATACATCGAAAAGAAGTATTTTAATCAAATATTAAGAAATAAGAATGACTTAAAACCCCTTTTGTTAAGTAGTATTTACTTATAGTTTCATTCTTTTGATATTATTTTTTTAAAAGTTATCTCACATTAAATGATGAATATATATAAATTATCTTTAAAACCTTAAATGATATAAAACTTTAAACATAATCCTATAATTAACCTCAAAAAAAGGTAAAAAGTGACATATAACTTGTTTTTCATACGGTTCTTATTTCAAATTTGTTTTCGGATTATAATGTTATTAGATCAATAATTATATTTGAATATGAATTATTTATCTTAAAGTGTAATGTTTTTGTCACCATTTTATCTTGAAAATACATCTCAATAAATTAAGTATATATAATTGGTTTTCACTTCTAAGTAATGTAACTTGGTGCAGTGAAAAGATAGTTCTTATTCTATCATCTTCCAATTGTACATTGTTATGATTTTTTTAATCAGTTAATATAACAGAAGTAAAAATTTCGATATTAACAATAAAATTACAATGATGACATTATATAAGGTGGTGATATTGGTGAAAGACAAATTGGTAATAAGTGGTAAGATTTGTGTTCTTTTGACTTGGTCGTATGGCATCAGCTACTGTCATTTTCAATCTAGCTAGAAAGCTCTTTCAATGTCTGACACGCATTGCTTTGCTGCACAGCAGGGTGGGGGTTACATCTTCCTTCTAATCTGCACTCGACACAAATCACGAATATTTCACGACTGAATCAAGTAGTCACAACAACAAGTGAATCAAATGATGATGCTTTTGTCTTTGACATGCTAGCTAGTTGCATATATTTTGATTTTCTCCTCCAAGACCAAGTGAAAACAAAGATACCTTGCATTGGTAAATGGTATAAATTTCAAAAATGTTTGAGGGAACACAAAGGGTTTGATGCTATTTGCACCAGAAAAGGTAAAGGTTTTTGAAGGATTTTCAAGTTGCGTTTCTCCAAAGGCATCCAAGATGGGGACATAACCTCATTCTTTTCCCTCCCATTTGTAGTAAAATAGTATTTGCTTTTCACCCTATTCACTTCACTGATTCACTCTTTACAGTTAAGGCCATGCAGGTATATATAGCATCAATTTATATCTCCTAACACGCTGCATGTTTTTCACCCACCAACCAATGATTCATTTACTTCAAATTTCAAATCTTAAAAACTACGTTTCCATTTTTCTCGATTAACTTAAACATGGATTCATTTTATAATCTTTTCATCAGTTTCTTAAATTTTGTAATATTTCAATAAGAACAAGTTAAAGTTATCACAAAACAGTAATTTTTAACACTTTTTTTTTTATGTTAGATTATGTGAAACTAATTTCTCACTCTCAAATTTTCTATATTGAAACGAATGAGATGAATAAGAATTGGTCCTAGAAAAAATATAAAAGAGGAGTTGGGTCCAGTGATAACAACTGGACGTAATAGAAATTGGATAAGTGATAGAAATCAGATGCGACACTTAATTAGTAGGATCTCTTTCTGGGGCAGAATGACGTTTTTATATTTAATTTCACTGTCGGTAGAGTCCAGAAGCGTTCCAATTTTTCAAACATAATTTTGAATTGTCGTCTTTTTTCAAAAACAATTGGGTTAAAAGTGAATTTGAAGTGAAGTGATACGTGTGATAACGAAAATGACAGTTGATAGAGATTTGTTCTATGAATTGTTAGAATAGAAAAGCAAGTGGGAGTTGCTTTAATATACCAAATTAGTTTAGGAATATAATGAAGATTTATGGTTTTCACTTGGAATTAAACAAGAATTCACAGGAACATAATTATGATTAAATGATTGATTTGCCATTCAGGTGTGTGCTTAAAGACCCTAATAAACAAACTATACAAGAGATTATTCATATACCATGTACTTATATATGTGACTGTGTAATCTGAATTCTCTATCTGTGTTTAGTTGATTACTCTTTGAATTTAACCGGAAAAGCCAACATCCTAAAAGATATACAGATAAGGCTAAAATAAGAACTAGACTTAAAGTACAATTTGGACATTTGCAGAATCAGTATTCTGTTAGACATATTTTGAGGTCACTCCTTAGAAATTTACGGCCGAATGAAATTAAACTCAGAGAATAGAATTTTGAAAAATGTTACAGTAATAGGTAAACAATACGACAACGTATACATAATGTTTGACAAAATAAACAAATGTGAAAAGTACACAGTTTGAATATGTTGAGTGTTTGTAGACAATGATGATGTAAGAAGAGTAGGAGTTATAATTATTGTAATTAAAAATGAAACTTGTCCCACTAGTCATTCTTGACTGATCCATGGAGACATTGATGAAAGCGACTGGTACCTCAAGTGGTAGGCAGTGTTAACAGGAAAGAAAGAAAGAAAGAAATTGTGAATCTGTAGCTTAGAATCTGCAGAGCAGAAGCCAAAGAAGCACGGTTTTGTGCGTTGCATGAGCGTGATCATGATGATGATCATGTGCATGGGGCTAAGATATTTGGTTCTTTGAGGGGGTCCCAGAATCAAACTTCTTCTGCTGATGATCTCTCTGTTGCCTTGCCATGCCCCCACCAAAAACCCCTTAGACACACCTTCATGTGCAGTGGAAACCATTTCTCACGATTCCGCGACACTCTGGTACATTGCCACTTTTTGAGTGGTGTCTGGTGGTTGTTTCATCGCATTCATGCTAGCTGGCCAATTGCATCTTATCATCACTTTAATTACCTTCTTGTTTCTCTACTTCAAAATATATATCTTTCTATAAATATTAACTTTAACACGTCTTCGTTATAGTTTGGGTTAAGGTAAGATGTGGAAAAGCATTGGATATCTAAATAACTGCACTGCATGTTGGTTTATCAATTTTATAATGGAATCGACTTTTGTTGAGGAAAGAAGTGCAATTTAAATCATAAAATACATTACTCAAAAAATAATGTTTGAAATCCCTAACAATAGCAAAGCTTGTTTGAAATAAACAAGCTTTATTTCATTGAATCACAATTTAGAGATCCATAGTTCACTTACACAAAAATGCAGCTAACCCAGAAAAAAAAAATCTAGACATAGAAAAATAAAATGCAAGAGTGAACGAGGAAAAAGGTGAAGACAACAACTTTTCCGCTCTATTGTTGTGTTCGGTTGAAGGATGAAGAATGCACGCACGGTAGGGTCCTTTCAGATTTACGGCACTTTAATTTCGATGTTAATGGTCCATTGCTCATTTGGGCCAGTTTCATAGGCCCATGCAATGGATATCTTATTGGACCTTTAACACCCAACCTTTCTTGTGATCATTTTTTTTTGTCAATATAAAAACAAAAGTTGTGTATCTTTATATAATAGAAATTAGTCCAATTAAGTTGATGAGGCCCATCAACATCGACATAGTTGTTATTTACAAACTCACAGATGGAACTACAGTTGTAGGAAGTATAACTAGTTTACATGGAATTCTCCAATTAGGTTCCATGCAAGTATAAAGAATATAATATTTTATATATTTCTATTAAAATTTCATAAATAAAATATCAAATTAGCTAAATATATATACAAAATTATGAACAAATTTTAAAAATTCATTAATTTTAGTTAATATCTGAGAGAATTATTAGAAGGATGTTGTTGACTTAAAATTAGAAGAATAATAAGTTCTTTTTCAACATTAGCAAAAAAAAATTTAATAGATTCTTTTAAGTAAAAAAAACAAATCATACATAATATTTAATTTAATATTTACTTTATATATGACCAACAATTTTTTTTACAATGAAAATACACTTAAATTTAGATGGGATTGTAAAGTTTAACGTAAATTACGTGATAAAAAATGTCACCGTCGCCCAATAACGGTGGACTGTTAACAAAACACAACAACCAAAAAGGTTTCATTGAGAAAAAATGAATATTTTATTTTATTATGTAGATGTATTTAGCAACTGAAGTATAAATCGTGAGCTTGAGTAAATTAAATATTAATTATATATAATGTGTCAAAATAAAATGGATGAATTTCAAATTTAATTATAAACATGGAATTAAATTCACTAATTTTTCTATAAAAAAAATAACAACAAAATATGAGAAGGGATAAATAGTGATTTACTACATGAATAATTGTGTGTCAATTATTTAACCGATGAGAGGCTAAAATTGCTCTTGACATTCCTAAATATCTGTTCATAATTTTGTCTCAGAAAATACACGAGTCACGTGTTAACATGTCACAACGTGGATGTACGTGTGAACGAACGAACACAACAATATTGCTTCTTTTTTTTTTTTATGTTACAGTTTCCACCTCATTTTTCTACTATTTTTATCTTAGAATCTCCTACTTTCACTGAAGTCTCTGAGTGATTAACACTTGTTTGTGTGAAAGAGTATACAATAATGAAATGTTTAATCGAATTTCTCATTCTCAATTTGTTCATTTTCCATATATTTGATCTAAAACAAATATCCTTAACCCTCCTTTTCTTGTTCCTCTTTTCTTGCCCCTCTCTTTTATGAGTAATAAACAAAGGCTAAGTAACCAGTATCCTTGTGTTCACGATTTTTCACTCTCCATTTCAACCTACGCACAAAAGATGGGTGATTCATGAATCATGTGTGTGTGAGGATGATCATGATTTTATCTGAGAGAAGTGAATTGGGGTGGAGATGTGGCCTACATGAGTTAAAGTTGTGGAAGCAGGGTTTTGTAGTGTGAAAGAATCAAAGCAGAGAGTAATGGGTGAGGTATGATGAAAGCGACCACGGGTCAATGTGGGTGAGTGAGTGTGTGTGGCATGTGGATTTGGGGTGCATGTGTGCATCATAAAGCTGCCACTTTGACCAATCAAACTTTTTCTCACTGCTTAACTGAATCATGAGGTTCCCTCTGTTCATTGGGCCCTAACAACCCTCCATCAACATTTCTTTTTCTTATTTACAAATATCATTTTTTACATTCAGCTTAATCTCATATGAATAAATAAGTAAAACCATTTTTTTATTTCTTGAAGTTTGATTTTAAATATATTTATTTTAAAAAATTTACAATTTTTTTGTGTGTTGGAAGAAAATAAAAATAATGGCAAGAGTGAGAGAAATTGATCACTGTTTGAAATCTGACCCATCTCTGATTTACAGGGACTCCTCTAGACTGCACGAGTGCAAGAGTGTTGTGGTCGAACTTGGATGCTGTGTATATCGAACTTTTTTCCCTTTGGACCCTTGTCGTATTACGTGTTTGTTAAAGTTGTGAGACACAGCATGATTTTTTTGTTTTTGTTTTTGGAATACTTTCAGTGTTTGGGAGAAGACAAGCCACATTAACCTCAGATCAAAATGATTAATAAGGATTTTGTTTCCCATATTGGGACTGAGAATCCTGTTAGAGAAATTACGTATACAATTTTTTTCTCTTCATTCATAGATTAAAAGGTTTTGTTTATAAGTTCATGAAAGTTCGCAGTTAAGGATCAATTCATTCCAATGCTTTGATTGAATTTTATTATGCTTTACTTGAGATAAGATGGATAGATTCATCCATAAAACTGGAATGAGAAACATAATCATAAAGGTTACAGTGTTATTTATTTAATATAAAATAATATAAATTAAACATCAATCAAATCAATGACTTGTTGGGAATTCACTCCACTATTTTTAATGGATAAAATAAACTTGACATGCAATTTCAAATTGTTTTACCTCTCTTTGTCTGTAACCTTTCTGTCCATCTTAATTCACTGCAGAAAGGCTAAAGTTTTGCTTTCCAAAGTGTAATAATTACTGAGAAACACAAATGCGTATGTTGTATTTTATACGTATTATTTTATTTGGTCATGCAGCATAATAAATTGACTATATTCATTCATACACAAACACATATTATATTCAAAATAAAGACACCATGTCCTCACAAAAAGAATCAACCTCTAATTCTAAATATACTGTGTCAGTAAGCCCACTGATAGTGAATATATATATATATATATATAGAGAGAGAGAGAGAGAGAGATATTTAGTTTTAAGTAACCAATTATAAAAAGAAAGAAAAAATTATAAGACAATAAAAGAGGTATGATTAATTGATGAATGAAGAAAAAATTAAATATATGAAACCAGCTAGAAACTGCAGTGAAGAAATCCAAGCCAAGGCAAAATTGGTCTCTGTACTAAACAGCTACTTCAGCCCAATGTGGTCTATATAAAGCATATTCCCATAATACTCACCACACACCACTAGTAGATTAAACGCGTTATATGGGAAGTACTTTGTGATTTGTCATTTTTAAGGAGCAACAACCAAAAAATAAACGAAAGTTGTTGTGCAACCCCAGAAAAACTTAAGGACTCTGATATAGTTATCTTTTAGATTAATATATAGATGAACGAGTTTTAACAAAACAGAAAGAGAAAAAAGGTTTAAAGAATAGAAAAATCTTTGAATTTCTGAGGCTATCATGAATTTCTCAAAATATGTTTTATATTTGTATGGTAGAGATCATGTATACATACATTGTTACTGAAAATATATTTTGTTTGAACTTTAAAAAAAAATATAGATGGTAATTTATAACAGTTAGTCATCTTTTTGCCATGTTACTGCAGAAGCTAGTATTGTATCCTATAGAAAATGTACATTTTTTACTGTTTGGACGCGTTCAAACACCCACAGTAAGAATATTTGGAAGAAAAATCAACCTAAACAAAACTATTCACAATGAGCTTTTCTTTTTTTTTTTCTTTTCAAATGCTATGAGGAAGTCTTGTGAAATAGTGACTCAGAGGAGACAAAAGAAGAAGTGGATAAAACGGTAAGAAAAACAAATGATGCCCAAGAACAATGAGAAAAATGGAAAAGAGAGTCATATCACCCACATGTGATGCACAAACTCTTTTTCAAAATGCAATATAATGTAACTTTGAGTTGACAAGACCTCAACAAATAGAGCCTACGTAAAAGACACAACACACTCATCGACTCATAAGCACCCATTTGTGTCCTTTTGTAGCTATATAAATATAGCTCGTATGCATCTTCACTTTTCATTTTTAACTTTTACTTTCACCATTCAAGGCAACGTTCTCCTCCATCCAATCCACAAATCTTCAATTATTTACTCTTCTTTTTTTAATCACAACACTCTATAATTCTCAATGGTTGTTCTGTACACTAAGAGAGTGTATTAAACCACACAACAAATGAACAAAATATGCCAATTATATATAATTAAGCGGTTCAAACAAAACAGTTCTTGATTCAAAAGAAACAAATCGAACTACTATTCCGAGTGCAGAACAGAAACTGGGAATTTTAATTCATTGCCAATTAGCTTTTTGCACGTAGAGAACATACATTTTTGAGGCATGATATGAAGGAAAATTGTCTCTAACGTTACTTTCTCTGCTATTTACACAGGGAATTAATAATAAAGAGCCAGCTAGCAAAACATATATATATTCTTTTTCTGCATGCTTGAACTTTGATCCTTGACCATGGCTTGGAGGACTCTAGTGAGCTGATCCATGATATGAGCAAAGAAAAACGTTAAACAATGATACTTGTTGATGATGAGAATGATTGTAGCTAGTCGTGCCAGCAGAGAAGCATGACTACACATCTTCTGATTATGTACAGTCTTCCTTTTTGCTCTTTGAGGTACCCTCCAAGCCTTCTGCATGAAACCTTCTTCTTTGAAGCTCTCATGGAATCTTTGCTCATCTTTGAACCTCTCATGTAATTACACTTTGTAGTGTAGAGAGACAGAGTTGTAGAGCGAAATGTGTGTGTTGAATGAAAGTTGAAACCCTTGAAGCAGTATACAAATGGTGCTCCAAAGGGCTTCTTATAGAGCGAAATGTGTGGTCCATGGTTCCGAAAGAAATGTGTATAGGCCCCTCAATTCAGATTCCATGCCCCCATTCTCTCTCTCTCTCTCTCTCTCTGCACCAACATTTATGTGGCATCAACCACCAAGATAAGTGGTCGGCCATTGAATTAAGCAAAACAAATAATAATGTTTAGGTCATGCTAAGTTAAAAGCCAATGTTATCTTAGATTTTTGAGCCCTCCATGGTTTCAACCTCATAATTAGGCCAAGAAACAATGAAGCTTCCTTGTCATGTCGTTTGACTATAGTGTCCAATTATTTGTGACACCTTTATCCGTGTGAAGTTTCCTCTAATTCAAAATTCAATCATGGACACATATGAAAAACCTTGTAACTAAGTTCATCATGATTCATGAGCTTTTATTATTCATTCTGGTTGATTAACTTATTTAGTGAATGCACACGACAAAACTTATGACAGTAATAAACATAATCATATATTATAGCATTCAACTATATTTTAAGATTAGTTGTTGTTCTTGTTGTTTTTCTCAACAGGGGTAAAACATATGCTGTTCACCACTAGTTAGGTAAAAAGGAGTATTGTCGAGAGTTGATTTAAATCGGTCTTACCCATATGTTGATATTCATGTTCGTTCAAAACTAACAGATGCCACCTTCTATCTTACACTAGATCCTCGTCTGAAAACTGTAATGGCAGGCTAATAGTCAAAGTTAGGCATGTGATTTCAAATATGGGATATAAAGACAAGGGTGTGTCAGAGAAGGTTATCTTAAAGGACATTAGAGTATAAATGTAAAATGGCTGTGGCTCCACGAGTTATGGCCTAATGTGCTTAATCGTGTGGCAATGAGCAAGATTCTCTCACTGTCTGCAAATAACTCCACAGATATAGTGAAAGATCAAAGATATTTAATCAATCCTTTTTTTTTTTCTTTTTTTATTCACATTTTTATCTACCAAGCTTGAAAGCCAAAAAATGTACGCAGTACAAAATAGAAAATTAGTACTGATAAATCTGATATTAATCCGAGAAACTTCTTCAAACCCGACCAATTGTTTCAACATGTAGGGCTTCATCTTAATTTAACAAGAAGCATAATCCCACATGTTGTGTCTTGTGCTTCACCCATATCACTTAGAATTGCAGCTTCCATTTATCTACTTTTATTTTATTTCTTTTCTCTTTGGAAGATTAAATGAAAGTTTTGTCGTGCTCTAATGGGTGTAATTTAGTATAGTGGCATAACAGAAACACTACACATTCCTTCAAGTGAACTTCTCTCACATGATGACAAAATGTCAAATTAATTATTATTCCCCCCTCTTTATCATATATGATAAAAACTAAGTTGCATCATTAAGATAGCTTATCCTTTTAGAAGAAACTAAAAGGGATAATAAATGAGACAGCTTATGCTTATCAAAACTTTGATTTATTCATATATGTCCTCATATTAAGAAAATTGAAGGATAATGGTATGTATATATGGTATGTGTTGACGAGCATGGGCGTGGCGTGATTTAAAAATGTGATTTTGATGTTGAATAATGAAGAAGTGAAACAATGAGTTAGCAGCAGCACCCTAAGGTGTGGGGAGAATTAATTGAAGGGTGCAAGCACAAGGGACAAGGGGAGTTTAAATATGTGTGGAAGGGTTTCACAACCAAATTTGTCTGAACCATGTTCCTTTGGGGGTTTGGTCTAAGAATATCTTAATGGACCAAAACGCAATGCTGTTGAGCACTGAGAAGACATGGGAGCACGTGAAATGCTCGTGAGTGGGCATGGTTACTGCCTTTCATACTCTGGACAAACCCTAGATTTTTTGCTTTGCGTTCACAATTTGTGACCCTCTTGTCCACTTCATGTTTCTCTGAATTCCTAATTCTCCATTAACATTCCCATATTCTTTTCCCAATTAAATTACTAAAACAACGTAATTCCTGATCTTGTAAATTTCTTGGTTTCTTCAAAGATTATGCACGTTTAACCACATATCTCATTGGTACGGTTCAGTGTACTTGGTTACCCTCGTTCCTTACAAGACAATGTACAAGGAGAATGCTAGCTAGTAATTTCATTTCAATATGAATTTATTTAGATTACTCAATCATCTGTCTCATTACGTGGAGTCTCGGACTTTGGATTAGATTAAGAATCTCAATTCATTCACCCATTCAACACAACAATATATATATTTCTTTATTTTTACAATATAGTTGTTGTGTTATAAAGTAGATGGCAACAAGTGATATCTCTAAAAATAATTTATATTTTTATAAAAAATTAAAGTAAGAATCCAAATATTGTAATTTCAGATTTTAACGGGATAAAAAATAAAGAAAATATTGTACAGAGATTAAAACAAAAATTCACTTTTTTTTTAATCAAAGAAAAAAATTACAGTAATCAAAATCAAATATCGCCATTTTATAAAGGCTAAAACATATTAAACTATTTATAAAGAAGTTTTCTCCTAAAAATATTTATAAATAAGTTTTCTCCAAAAGCAGGCCTTGTAATTAATCAGGAACATTTCTACTTGGGCTTGGGTATCATGGCCTGAATTAGCCCAGATGATAATCGAAGTTAAAAAAAATGTAGAATACAGAATAGAGAAACCGAATGGGAAGAGAGATATTGTTAGCCCAAAGTCTTTACTAATACTGGATCCATTTTATCTATTATGGGCTTTCCAATTTCGTTCTTCTATTAAGGCCCATCAAGAGATACCCATTTGTTCATTCTTCTCTATCTCCCTCAACTGTGTTTTTACGTAATTAACAAGTACACATAACACACTAAAAAATACTGACCATAAATTACGTCAATTCCATAGTTTAAAACAGATAAAAATTATTGTAAATTATATCCCTTAGTCACATAGACTAACTAAAACAATTTTTATAATAAAATAATATCATGTTCTTCATACGAGATTGTCAACTACTCAGGTAGTTTTATATTATGGTAAATTGTATACTTATATTGTGGATAAGGAATTTATCCATGCTTTTTACTAACTTACTTGATTTTGGGACAGTGATATTTGTAAGTCTCTTAAATTTAATAATTTATTTTTTATATATAAAAATTATGTTAAATTTCCATCTGTTAATAGTCTTCGAATTTACATGCACGTGACAATCCTATAAATATTTCTTTCAAAGTTTCCTTCAAAGATTTATGGTATGGACCAATCTATTTTTTAAGCTGACCCAAACTATAATTAAAAAAAAAAAATGATGGGTCATGAAGCATCACTAATTTTTTTAAAATATAAGAAAATTAAAAAATTATCAAATTAAGTTTGAGCACGAATTATCACAATTAACTCATTGTAAAAACTAAAATTTACTCCATCCAATCTTATTTTAACACCTTCATAGTATTTTCTTGGTGAGAATATATATGAAAAAAAATGTTGGAAAAAGCTTCTTTAGTAAAAGACAAAAATCAATTGAAAAAGAAGAAAATTGATGAATTTTAGGAGGAAAATAATAATAATAATAATAATAATAATAATAATAATAATAATAATAATAATCCTCCGTACAATGAGATATAGTATAGGTTTGTGGTGATGAAATAAGTGAAATAAACTAATGAATAAGAGGATTAGACATAATTATTTAAGAATAAAAATAAATATTTTATTATAAATCTTATATTTAAATAATTTAAAATTAAAAAAAATTACTTAAGTAAAAAAATTTAATCAAATTTTAAATAACTCATTTATAAAATTCATAATAAAATATTTAATTTAATTGTGAAATAATTTTAAAAATAAAAAAATATATTTTATTATAAATCTTATATTTAAATTGTTTAAAATTAAAAAATTTTATTTAAGTAAAAAATTCTAATCAAATTTTAAATAACTCAATTATAAAATTTATAATAAAATATTTAATTTTATTGTTAAGTAAGTTTTGGTTAAAAATAAGATGCTATTAATCCTAACTTCTTCTTGATGTGATTTTCCGGGTTTGAAAGCACGTTTCCAAAGAATTTTTTCTCACAACTTTTTCATCATCTTCATGTTACTCAACAACTAATATTCCTCCATGCCCATTCTTCATAGAAAATTCTTCAAAACGTAAATCAAAGCTGACACATGATACAATTGTAAATCAGAATCCAACAACACGTGGTTTAAAAACTGAATTAAAAAAGTAGAGAACACAAGCTCAGAGGCCTACACAAAAGGTTCACACTAACTTAGCTCCTTAATTTATGATTTCACCTCCAAAAACAAGTGCCACACTGATTCCCAACAAAAGAAAATGAGGCATTATTCATGAGACCGTCCACTATCCTTCAGCCATTATTGAACCTTTGACCCTCTCAAACGTGTGTCTTTCCCATTCTCACATTTCTCACCATATGATTCACACCTTTCTTCCACCGTCCACCTGTTAACCCTGTAATCTCGCTTACCACTTTGCACTATATAAAAAAATCACCTTTACTTTCATCACATCACACATAACATAACCTTTTTTTTTTGTCATCTAAACTTGGTTAGAGCCAGCAAAGTGAGCACACACTTAACAATGGCAGCCTACTCAAGCCATGCTTTGAAAACCATCCCTTCTTCTTCCTTTGTGAAACCTGTCACTGCCAAAACAACATCATTCCTCACACCCTCAAATACCAAACCTTTCTCACCATTCACCTCATCAAACCATTCTCTCGTCAAAAGTCTCAACTTGAACTCCACTTTGCCACACTCTTATTTGTCTTCAGTTCCCAAGAAATCTTTCACTTGCAGAAGCCAGGCTCAGCCTGTTGACTCTGGTAAACACACCCAATTTTCAATTTTTTTTTTCTGGCTGAAATTAAAGTGGGTTTTGCTTGATCGATCCTTTTGGTTTCTTTGCTTGATTAATTTGTAGAAAAAGTCCAAGAACTGAGTGTGTATGAAATCAACGAGCGAGACCGTGGAAGCCCTGTTTATCTTCGATTGAGTTATAAAAGTGTCAATTCCCTTGGTGATTTAGTCCCCTTTAGCAACAAGGTAAATTTCTTCACTTTCTGGACAAAATTTTGACATAGTTCCGTAGATATTTTGAATGTTATTCCACCGAAGTTGGAGTTTTTACTTTCCCAACCTATGTTCGTATTTAAAGCAAACTTCATGCTAATTAGTAATAAGTAAAGTAAGACTATATATCCCAATCAGCAAACAACAAGAAAATCCTCTAAGGAACTGGACATAACTTCTTGCATTCGAAGATTTACTTTTGTTATGGTAATTTTATTTTGCAATCATGTTGAATTATTTGTTGTTTTGTATTATGATCAAACGTTAACTTCTCTAGCCTGTTATGATTATAATGATCAAGTACCAAAAGTTGGATTTTCCATCTAATTGTTGCTAAGAGAGAGACTTGTGTTTTTGTAATTGATTCTGTTTTTGGACTTATGCAGTTGTATACTGGAGATTTGCAAAAGCGCATTGGGATAACATCTGGTATTTGTATTTTGATCCAAAACAAAGCTGAAAAGAAAGGTGACAGGTATGAAGCAATCTTCAGCTTCTACTTTGGAGACTATGGTCACATAGCAGTGCAGGGACCCTACCTGACTTATGAGGACTCATATTTGGCTGTGACTGGAGGATCTGGAATTTTTGAGGGAGTTAAAGGTCAAGTGAAGCTGCATCAAATTGTGTATCCTTTCAAGATTTTGTACACATTTTATCTAAAGGGTATCAAGGATTTGCCCCAGGAGCTTCTTGTGAAGACTGTTGAACCCATTCCATCTGTTGAAGCTTCCCCTGCTGCTAAGGCCCTTGAGCCTAATGCTACCATTGCTGGCTTCACAGACTAATTGTTCAACTTTCTTTATAACTTTTTTGCTTTTGTAGTTTGATTTAAGTTACTTAATAATAAGTGGGTGTATGATGTTCTTCTTTTTGTTGTTGTGGTGGAGTTTCTATTTGATGAAAAACTTGACATTCTTCCACTAGTGAACTTTAAACAAATATAACGTGTAACAGAGGGAATCGTGATTGCCACCACTGGGGTTGGACATTTTAATACCTTTTCAAGTTTGGTGCTTGACATTTTTTTTTTCTTATATCTCGTTATATTTTCAAATTGTGGTTGTGTCTGTATAGTATTATTTTTGTATATTTTATAAACACGTGTTTTTTTTTTCCTCAAAGCACATGGTTAGTTTTTTATGGATATCATCATTATTAACTTTTCAATTTTTTAAGTTTGATTAGTTGTTGTCGTACACCTTTTAATCATAAAAAAAAAGATAATTAAGAACAAAGAATTGGTCGGTGGTTGTTATTTTTTTAAATCTATCCTTTAAATAAATGGGTTTGTTGTTATGGAGTTTACTATTGAATAATAACTTGCAAGGATTAAATTTTCATATTGCAATTGATAAAATGACTTTAGGGATCATAAACTATAAATGATTAATTAAATAAATATTTACAATTTAGTTAACAATTAAGTTGGTCTCTAAAGTTGAAAAAAAAAGAATAATTCATGAAATTATAAGTCTATTAATCAGTTTAATCTAAAACATTTATATATTTCAATAATGTTAATAAGAGGACAATACAACTTTTTTTTTGTTGACAACTCTGTTTTATTCTAGAGACTATATTAACTGATTATTTATAATGTTTAGAATGATTTAATTGTTTTATCAATTTCAGATTCAATTATCCTACCATTATTAATAATCCAGTCATTAATTTTATATGATCGAAGCTTGTGTTTATTGTATCTTGCAATTTTATAATGTACCATGTGTATAGTATGGTTCTCAGTTTTATGCAAATGCCTTTGTTATTTATGCACCTCTCATATTCAAATTATGACCATGTCTGCAATTATATTATTTGTGTATATTTTATAAACACGCCTCAAAGCATGTCTTTTTTTTAATGTATATTATGATTATTGCTTTTTCATTTTTTTAAGTTTGATTAGTTGTTGTCTGTGTTAAACAGATTCGATTGTAATTGGAATCATTACAGAGTTTGCATCGTTTTTTTAATAATTCAATATGCATTTCACGTGATTTAAAAAAAAAACATTTTTTTATAATGTACCATGTTCTAAATTATATTTTTTTTATTGAATTTAACACTTGTAATAATATAACATTGAAATCACTTACTAAAAAAAGGATGTTTTTGCAATGTTTTGCATGCTCTCCTAATATTTTGCTATCGTTACAGAATTTAGTTGTATATATAATATTTTTGCACATTTCATTAGAACAAATAGTTGCACTAAATAAAATATTCTAATTATTTTAGTCCTGCTAAATAATTTTCCAAATTCAGTGACTGAGTTGCAGATTTCAGAGAAAATTATTAGTAAAGTGATTAGTATAACAACTGATTTACCAAGGGGTTGTTGCAGTACAGTGTTCAAGTACAAGAAGCTAGTACAGTCATCACAGGAATAAATGGTACCAAACAGTGAAAGAAGGTGTACTATATTCATGGAAAGTTTCAAATATCAATCAATAAATATTATATAATTACATTAACAGATCCTTCAACCCTGCTAATATAATGGTTGCATCTCATTGGAGCAAGTCATGGATGAGTCTCCATTCAATCCCCTAGTTGGCTGGAGCAAGTTGTGATGGGAATCAATGGCAGTGGTGACACCAAGAAAAGAACATTTTTTTTCTTCTTTCTCCTAATTTTCTTGTGATGTATCAGTAAATGGTGTTGAAGGGTATGAATCCATTACTGCCCTTGATTCTCATCACAACATGGTCCTATCAGGGAACCTCATAGATACTGTTTTCATACACCCTCTTTTCGATGTTCTGTTGTGTTAGGAAGATCTGAGAGGTGTTATTGCAGAAGAAGATAGAGGTGTTTGATGATGAAACCTGAGGGTGAACGTTCTCTGATATGAAAGCCATGTTGATTTAGAGTGCTGTTTCATGCTCTTTGGGTTGGGTTTTTTTTTACCCTGATGAATAAATAAAAAATTTGATTTTATTAAAAGCGGTCCAAATTTTTTTTTTTTTAAATGAGTTAAATCGTATTTAGAGTTAAAATCGTGCTTCCTAATAATACTTCTAAGCACGATTTTGATTTTTAAAAAAAAAAACCTACAAACGAATTTTTTATTTTTTAAATCAAAATCATACTCTTACTTTTATTTTTTGAAAAAATATCATTTGTTTGTTTTTTAAATATATATTATTTATTAAATAAACATTTTCAATTGATTAATAATAATAAATAAAAATATTTTGACAAATGGTTAAATTTAATTTATTATATTTATATTAAAATATTACACATATATATATATATATATATATATATATATATATATATATATGTGTGTGTGTGTGTATGTATGTATATTATTACAAAAAAAAATTAATGGTGAGATACTCTCTCACAAGGTAATCTTCTTATTTACGTGATTGATCTTGAATAACTTTTTGTTGTCATTATGTAGCACACCTACAAACATGTGATAATTAAGGTTGAATGTTTGTTTGTCTATCATCATCACTATCATATCTTTTTGGAAACTGAAGCGGTCATAGTCCTCAAAGTTTTGTAACTCTCATGTAATTTATGATTTTTGTCCCCAAACTTTAATATATTTACTTGTATATTTATAATTTTATCCTCTCAATCTTTCATCAGTTTTGTAATTCTCATATAATTTTATATATTTATTTATACAATTACAATTTTATTTTTTCACCCTTTCATCTTCTTTCACCATTTTATATTTTTTTTATATTTTTTAATAATATATTATTTGGCCTCTCAGAATCAATGGTCAAGATTCGTCACTGATCATCCTCCTCTTTATTTGCATACTGCATAGGAGACATAGTGAGCATAGTAGTAATGAAAGGTGTTTGATTGTATGCTGATGGTGGTATCATGGAAGAGGTGGAAAATATGTTTGTTTCATATGGAAACAAAGTAAATATATGAGAAACTTGTCTTCCAAATTGAAATTGTGCAGGTATTTTGGAGTAAACCAACATATCCAAAATATAGATAAGGTTGTTGATGACTCGATTAATCAGTATGTTGATGACTCGACTGACCAACATGAACATGACTCAACCGACCAACACGATTAGGTTCGCCAATACATTGGGGTTGTTCCTGCTACTTTGTATTCTACTCGTTAAAAAATAAAATCAATATTTGTTTGATATGAATGTATATATATATATATATATATATATATATATATATAATACAATTATTAATATACTTCTTCTTAGGTAGAGGAAATATATTTGATAGTATGATGAAAATACCATATCATATATATTTTATTTTCATGCAAGTGGTCATTCTTACTGAACTCGTTTTCTTGAATTAGCCGATTGTGACGGTCATTCCACATAGTAATCCAAGTTTCATGGTATTGAAGCCAAAATCTATCGAGTTCTACCTTTCATGTCTTCTTTATGAAGTTTGTCAAAATTAATCAAATATTTTGGAATTAGTTGGCTAAGTCCAAATTGTCTCATAACCCGATTTGCTATATGAGACTCAACAATAGCAAAATATATCATTAAAACTCAACATTTATTAGTCGTTGTAACTCAGGACGATGATAAAGAGTTCACAAAAACTGTATTATTTTATAGAACTTGTAAAATTAGAATTATTATCATTTAAGAAATACATATTAGGAGTTGTATTAAAAGAAATACTTCATTTGCTTTTAATTGATTAAATGTCAGACCTAATACATGTACAATATATATATATATATATATATATATATATATATATATATATATAAGTGATTTGACGCTCGTGAAGCTCTTGAATTGAAATCATAGTGGCATAAGCGATTTCTATATGAAATCGTCATAGCACACACAATTTTCCTTTGAAAATCATCACAACTCCCACTAGTTTGCCTTTTATCTCAGTCCGTACTTATATCACTACACACGAGTTCAATAAATTTGTTTAACTGATGCACTCGTTTTTGCTCGCACAATTTTGGACCAATCCTTATTTTAGCATGCGTTTATTGCATGTTATAGGTCGGGAATTATTAATAGTTGGCTAAAATTTTAACTTTGATGAATAGTTTTATATGTGAACAAGAGCATTTAATGACCTATATAATATAAGTGGCTTTATGTTTCCATTAAATCAACCTATTACAATTTACCATTTCTATTATAATTATTGAAGCTTAAGTTGTAAAGATAGATTTAATTATATTTTTATCAATTACCTTTTATTAAATTTTATATATTATTTACATTTTTTATTTAAGTATATTTTATTTAAATTTTTTAATCAGTTACTTTTTATTAAATTTTATAAATTATTTATATTTTTTAATCATTTACTTATTTTATTAAAATTTATAAATTATTTAAGTAAATTTTCTAATAAGTTTTTTTTAATTAGATTGATAGATTTTAAGTAGGTACCTTGTCCATGACAATTAATGATCCTGTTATTCAAGATATTGTTTAAGATTTTACTGATGAAGAAAATGATTTTTCCACTACTGCAATGTATATGAATGATGATGTCTTACTACGTGATAGACAATCATCAAATCAATTTACCCAAACAAGCGAAATAACATTTGGGAAGGTCGGTGTTTTCCATCAAAATAAGCAAAAATAAGTGCAACAAAACAATTTCATATTGATGATGGATACAAATTTTCTGTTGTTGAGTCTAAAATTGACAAATATATTACTCATTGTATACATTATGACAACGGGTGTCAATGGAGAGTTCGTGTTTCATACAATAAAATTTGTACCCCAATGGGAGATTAAGAAAATTAAAGCGTCACATACATGTTTGAGTATAATGTTAAACCCAGATCATCAAAACTTAGACTCTTCTATCATTTGCTAACATTATTTTTGAATTAGTTAAAATAGATCTATTTGTTCCTATTAAAACTTTGATTGCAGACGTTAAAGGCAAACATAGTTTGACAGTAACTTACAAAAAAAGCATGAGTAGTGAAACAAAAGACACTTGTTGTGGTATTTGGAGATTGGGATGACTCATAATGATCTTCCAAGGTGGTTACAAACTTTTGAAGATAGTAATCATGGTATAATTATTCAGTATGTTTGTTCTCCTCATTCAGTGCATGGTGTCCACAATAATCCATCATTTATATTAGAGTGTATCATCTGGTCATTTAAGTCATGTATAGAAAGTTCAAATATTGTAAGTCAATTATTTAAGTTGACCGTACATTCTTAATATGGAAATATCATGTTACGTTATAAATTGCAACTTTACAAGATGACAATAGAAACATATTTCTACTTGCATTTGCAATTGTGAAAGGTGAAATGAAAGAGGCATTGGTTATAGTTCTTGCAACTTCTAAGACATTACATTACACCTTAAAATAATTTATGCATGATAACAGGTAGAGACAAAGGAATATTGTCAATTTTATAATCAGAAGATCTTGATTGGAATGATCTCACCTCAGTGTATTATATTCGTCATATTGCCTCAAATTTCAACAAAAAGTTCAAAAATGTTGATTTAAAAAGACAACTCATCAATCTAGGTAACATCTTCTAACGTAGACAAATTCTTTTCTCTAAATAAAATGTCTAAAATTATATTTTTTTATGCAGGATATGAGATAAAACAACTCACACTTTTAGCGAAACTATCGACTTTAAGGTCTGACATTCAACAATAAATGTCCTAGTTAGATAAGATTCTATTGGAGAAATAAACTCAAGCTTATGATGAAGAGAAGCGATATATGTGATAACAAATCTTACTGAGTCTATGAATTCTGTTTTTAAATGAATACGAGTTTTACCTATATCTTCTTTAGTACAAACAACTTTTGAAAGAATTAAATCTTCGTTTGTGAAAAGAGGCATGAAAGTAAAGTACATGTTACGAGTTGAACATGAGTATCCTGAACATATTACTACACTGTTAACGAAAATGAACAGTGTGCTCGAATGTATCATGTTCATAGGTACAATCGAGATAATTATGAGTTTGACATACAAGACCAATCCAACCCCTAGCATCGTCGAAGATCGATAAGCTACATAATTCGATTAAATCAATAGTGATGTGATTGTGGAAAATTCCAAGCTCTTAGACTCCATTGTTCTCATGTTATTGTTGTTTGTTCTTCTTATCATTTACAACTGACTGTGTTTATCGATCTAGTTTACAACTTACAAAACATTCATAAAGCGTATGAAGTTCAATTTCATTCGATTCAAAATAAAAATTATTGATCTACTTATATAGATATAAATTTTTGTCCTTATTCTAATATGTGTTGAGACACATAAGGAAGAATTACAATTAATCACATTCGAAATATCATGGATATACAAATTGAAAAAAAAAAAACGTTCTTTTTGTCGAAATGAATGACATAATCATATAAACGGTCTATTTTGATAATAAATTTATATTTTTTAAAATAATATAATATTTTAATATAAATGTAGTGAATTCAATTTAACTATAACTAAATAATTTTGTTTTCTATTAAATTAATAATTCAATTAAAATAATTATTTCATAAATAATATATTAAAAAAAAATGATGACAAACTCGTATTAGATAAAATATTTATACATAACTCAGTGCTACCAAATACTTTTTTTTAATGAAAAACCACAAAAATCGTGCTTGAAAGCGTAATTTCAAATAAAACTGTGCTACCAATCACGATTTCAACACACCAAATCCGTCACATTTTGTGGGAAAAATTTAAATTTTCGACTCCACAGTAAAATCAAAGTTTTTTTAACCTCCTTTGTTAAAAAAGAAAAAGAAAAAAAAAAAGAGCCTCTTTTCCCCTGTTTTCATCTGCTATGAACCGTTTCTTTGTTTATTACGGAAATATAATATTCTTTAGATGCCAACTAAAGGAATTGATGATAAAAATGGATTTTGTGTATTTAAAGTGCATGTAAGTAAACTGAGGATTTATCAAACCTAACATCAGTTAGAGGAGAAAGGATCTGCATTATAAACACTTGTATCTAGAGATAAATTAGTTACAAAAAAAAAATACAATAAATAAGTGTTTTTTATAATGAAAATTGAGTTAAAATTAATTTTGAAATTAATTGAATTATGTTTGAATTTTTTATTTTAAAAATAAGATATCATATGTGAATATCTGTCTAAAAAATGTTAATTTTTATTTTTACACCATTTTATAAAATATCAAAACATGCACTAAACATGCCAAAATCACAAAGTTTGTCAATTAAGGCAAAAACATAAAGTTTGTAGAAAAGTAAAGAACACAACATAAAACTTGAGACCCACGTAGAGAATAGTTGGGCTTTTTATTCTATCTTACACTTTTTTGAAAACACATGCAAAACAAAACTGGCCCATAATTTTAATGAGTCTCTTAACAAATTGCCAATGACATGATTTTGTCTAGATTCTATTTTTTAAATTTTTCTAACATCCACGGTAAGAAATGAAGAGTAACTAAAAAAATTAGTTAATATATATTATCTTATTTTCAATCTATACCAAATTTTATTAATATTTTTCATTTTTAGGGAAATTTTTTATCCTACCATATTGAGAAAGATTTTTTTATAATTATCTCTAATATCATATTAAAAATGTAAGTGTATCTAATTTAATATTACAAAATTAATTCAAAAATTTATCTTATATTATAATATCTTTAATTGAAAAAAATTGAAGTGATTTTTTTTATGAAACGAAGAGTTGAAAACGTGTAAAATAGAAATTTGGTAAAAACATGGAAAATTTGTGCTGTAAACATGGCCAATCATTGAACTACGAATTGGAGAAAAAAAAGAATCCAATTGACTCAAATTCAAAAGGAAATAATGGTGAGAAATATCCAAGGTTTGAAAGAAATTGTGTAAAAAGTTCAATATAGAAGAAAGACTAAACCAATTTACTCTCTTTAAAAAAAAAAAAAAATCTACGAATATATATGTACATCGTATCTTATATCATCTCTGATCTAACTATCTTCGTGGCCCTCACCTGTTTTGAAGTTATTTTGGAAACATGTATATGGCTGGCGACTAGGGACTTGTAACGGGCTTTTGGAAGTCATCAAATGAAGTTATCAATCATATATTTGACGTCATTCCTGAAATATATCAGGACAAAAATAAACAGAATCAGACAATTATTTTGTCTCTCACTCGCTATAATGTTTGAAACCTGCATGCTTCAAACTTGAGTTTTTAATTGGATTTGTTTTTGGTTATGATTCCTTTGATTGAAGAATACACAAGTACATACAACTCACACATGAACCCAAAATTTCATGTCTACAAATAATTTTTATCATATTAGAGACGTAGAAAGAGCAAAATAGTATACAGTGAGAGTGATTAATATAGTGGTGAAGATTAAAGCAGTGGTCTTGAATGGGCAAGCCTATTGTGGAATTGGATGGTAATTGTTTCCCAAAAGAGTGTTTGGAAATTTGCATTGGCCATGAAAATGTTGTTCCAGTGGCATGAAGACGAGACAGTTCATGAAGTAGTTTGTGGGGACAAAACATGGAAGAAAGTTGAAAAACTTTATAAAATAAATGAAGTAAATGGGTCCCAGAGGTGGGTGTGTAACAGAACCTCTCTCTTTCTTGATACTAACCTTGCATACACATCAGACAAAACTGACGGCTATGATGAGGTCCAGAGTGGGACCCTAGTCCTGGTTCCATAATGTGAGGGCCCCAACCTCACTCATTGTAATGGTCAAGACAAGAATGTGACATGCACATGCTGAAGAGGAAAGGAGAGAGAGAAAAACACAACACAAAACTCCTCAACAAACACTACTGCATGCCCTGACATCCACTCTTTTGATCTCCACATATATCCTGGCTAACACTGAAAACAACTCAACAGGGCAAACTCATGATATTATGCTCTACCTCATTATTCTCAACTCAAAAACAGTGTTAATCAGATGGATTCACCCCCATTGGGCTTTCACTAGGTTACAAACTAGCTCAAATTTGGACTAGTCATAGGAGGGAAACTTCGTTCATTAATTCTGGTGCCACTTTCAAATTTTAAATACAAAAATAAGCAACATTATACAACATATATGCTTCTGCTACAGTACTGACAGATGCAAAATTTATCAAACCTATGTTTCTCTTTTTTACCTTCCTGCTCCCCTAATTAATTTATCTCTTTAAATTTCCAAGAAAAGATTTTTTCTTCATTCAATTATGCATTCTCTTTTTTATCTATAGAAGCTTCCCGGATACTTTCCTCGTTGTGTTTTTTCTTGTGTGTTTTCTTATTGGAAAAGCATCTCACTTACCTTGATTGAAGCTCAATGGAGGAGTTTCCTGAATTGGGTTGGGTATCATGATCAAAAACTGGTATTTTATTAAACTGAAACCAGTGATTTGTTGTTGCGATATCAGTTTGGATAAGGTGATAGTGGTGGTTTTATTGTGTGGAAAATTACAGAAAGCATAAGCTTTCAGTGTCAGCCACTCTCAATCGAATTGCCATAATTACAATAAATGTTGTCATCTAATTTGTATGGCTATTATTTTTTCTTATACAATGAATTGTTTTTTTCTTTTGTACCTTGGGGTAACATAATTATGGAGTTGTCGTAGCAAGTTTAACATTTCTTATTTAAATCCTCACCGAAAAGAAACAAGAAAGAAAAAACATGTTTTGCTTACATCCTCACCTACCCTAATCATTCATGTTATAATCTCCTCCTCGTGTGATTGTAACCAAATATATTGACTGTAATGAATTGAAAATTGTTTCTACTTTGACCACTTAAATTAAATATGATACAATTATCGTTAAAGGTGGATTCGATGAAGACTAATGGAGGCTCTGACCACTCCTCTAATTCAACTTATTGGTATACGAAAACTTTGATTTACATCACATTTGGCTCGCTTAATTATTGATAATTAATTAATCAATCAATCTCATGCTCAATGAATGTGAGAATCCTACAGAAATTATGAGGAGCCATCATCACCCGAAGTGATGTTGATGCATGAAGCAAATCCATCATTTCGTGTTGGTTTCTACAATGTGAATAAAATGGAAATTCACCGTGAAATAGATCAGAAATCCAATGCTTTTTCTAAGCTTTAACATTGTCTCCACGTGAAGTTGTTTGCTGGATGGATTGTGATATCAACGTCATTTTGGCCTGAAATAATGCATCCTAATTTTATAGAACTAGAAAGGAAACGAAAGATGGAAAATTTTTCATTGTCTTGCTTCAGCAATAAAAAATAGGGACTAATAGTTAGTGTCCCATGATTCACTTGAAGATTAAACTTGCCTACTGCTCTAGGTTATTAGGGGTCAAAGAACAATAATAGTTACTTTGAGAGTCCAATGAATTTAATGCAGAGGCAGAAAAAAATGAAATAAGAAAGTTGTAATATAGAATGATATTATTTGAGGCATGTTGTTGCACCATGGAGATTCCAAAAGTGAAAGAGAAAAATTTAGGGGAGACAAACACTCCTCACAGAACTACTTAGGCATGCCACCTACCTATACCTTGTCTAGACAAAAAGCTTCAACTTCAGAACACTCTTCTTTTGTCATGTCTGAACCTGCAGCATCCACTTTCAAACCTGTGCAAGTTTAAGTTGGAGTGAGAGTGACTTGAATCAACATTTACAACAATATTCCACTCTGTTGAACTATTTTTCAAACTCATTCATGGCCTCAACAGCTGAACCACTTCCTTATAGTTCAAGAAGAAGAGACGAGTCAGAGTTCAATTTGAGAGAATGGACAGTGAAAGCTCGAATCAGCCGTGAGAGCACCAACTCTAGAAGGTACTCAGGATCTTACATGAGAAGCTTTAGAGAAGACACAAGGTCATTTAGATCAAACATAACCGTTTCTAGCACTGCTTCCTCACCCGGATACCCCTTAAAAGGTACAATTCTTTTCACTCCAATTCAAAGTAGTTCATGTTTTTAAGTTTCATCACATTTTCATCTCAAATTCTCCCTTTTGTTGCAGATGAAATAGACCCTTCAACATATTCTTTCACTACTGCGCTTAAAGGTGCAACTACAAGTGAATGAACAATGATAATTAGCATGGGAGGTTTATGACTTTTTTTTTTGTGCTTAAGTTTTCTTAATCGATTGAATATTTGTGGTTCATTGCAGCATTGCAAGCAAGGGCAGCCTATAACAGTTGGGAATGCTCATCTCCAGACGGGTTTGCTTTAAATTCTAAGTGGAATGAAGCAGAAAGGTATATATGCAACCCTCTCTCAGGGGAGGTACCATTGGAGTGTTTATCTGCAAAAACTCTTAGTGGAAGATCTTTCAGAAACTCAATAAACAGAATTGCCATGTCTGCTCCTCTAGTCTATTCCTCAAAACACATTCCAACAAAGCCAGCAACTTACACACAAGAAGAAGTGGCTCTTCAATTTCCCAATCCAGGTTCACACACTTAATTAGCCATGTTCTTCTTGCTTTTTCCTTTTTGCTTGCAAGGACAGACAAAGTTACTTCCCAATTCTACTTTGCCTCTGTATGCAGAAAAGAAGAAAGAGGGTATGACAAGAGATGTGGGTACTCAAAGCACACCTGCTTATCTTAGTTCAAGCAGTCCCAGCCCTGCTTCAACTCCATCCATCATGGAGAGATCAAAACCTCCACCTGATGACTCACCTAATTCAAATGCAAAAACAAAATCTGAGGAAGAGGTATGTGCCAGAGTTTTCACTATATTCCTTTATGAGTTTATCAGAAATTCAGAATCTTATACATGTCGTCATTAAGACATCAAATAGTTGAGATTCAATTCACATATCCCTTTTCTTTGATCCTCAGTAATGAATGCGCCATTAAGTGAATAGGAAACACTAGGACACAAGAAATTGCCAGAGTTTCAAAACATTGTCATTGTTTGTGCCTCTTTTATTGTACTTAATTTGTTATTTTCCCTTTTGATAAAATGGAATTATGAAAACTAGAGTGAATAGTGTATGGATTTATAATATAAAAAGTTTTTATATTTTTATCTAATCATGTATATAAATTTGTTGACTTTTGTTATAAATATTAAATTCAAGCATTCATAACTTTTGATTAGCTAATAGTATGCTTTTTTTTACATTAATACTAAATATAAATTAAACTCTTAAACAATAGACAGAAATATCCAAAAAATCAGAAGCATGGGTCAGGTTCATTTAAAATTTTCAAAATTATTCGAAATGATAGGAAAGAAAGAGAACAATATGGTGCGGTTTCCAAGATTAAAGAATCAAATCTGTTGTGCAGATTATAACCTTCTAATGTGGGGGCAGTGAGAGATATATGGTCTCTCAGTATTTCATGTTTTAAGTGTATCTCTTGTTTTTGGCCCCTACTTATCCTCTAGTAAGCTGATTTCCACTACACATACAGTTGCACTTGTCTGTGATTTTGGAAATCAATTTTCCAGCCATGAAAGTGTTATCTCAGATACAGCTTACAAGTGTCAAATTTTACATATATAACTCTTTAATCCAACCTAGTTCTCCTTCTTCAATGATTAAACATGGCAGTGTGGTTCTTTTTGAGCCTGTATAACTCTTCCCTTTGTCTCATGTGAAGCCACTGAAGATTCTGGAATCCAAGTACATTAGTATATCTACATGGGTACTTCAAATTGTTTACTCACTGTCATGCTACGTACCATTCCTTCATTAGGATTACATTCAAAGGAACAATAGAGTCAATGTAGACTAATTTAGATGGCAATAATAACATCATAGAATTGTCACATTAAGGAAATATGGCATATATGTATTTCAATTATGGATAATGCAATGGTTACTGGAACTGTTGTACTAATTGTGCCACATAGTTTTGCAATTGTCACATGATATAATCAGCAGTTGTTAGAGTTTGAAAAAAAGTAGGGAATAAATGTCTGTTAAGTTGTCATAAATAATGATCTTGTGTCTTTTTCTTATTCAAATGGAACATCTCTTGCTTCAGTTTAAATTTATATGGATTTTGTAAATCCATAATTTGGTTGTGTCAGAAGAAATTGTCGGTTCTTAACATTCAAACAAAAATGGCATATTAGGTAGAAACAAGTGACAGGTTCGAATGAAAAATACTTCCTATCCAAAAAATAAAATAAAATATCATTTTACATTATTCCAATCTAGACATTTTGAGCTACAAATTAGATCAAATTGTTGAGTTATTGAGATTAATAAATAGATTGAAACTAGTCTAGTTGGCTCTCAAGTTTTCAAAATACAGAGACTACAGAGAGTTTTCAAAATGGAGGGATATCTCTATAATAAAGACATAATTCAGAAGGGACGAGAGAATAATACTTGAAAAGAAATGGAAATTCTTTAAGATGGAGACGTACTCGAATGACCCACTGACTCCAAAGGATTGATTTTTGTCATTTTTCTATTTACTTTAAGATTGAAACGAGGGAAAAATGGAATTTGTTTGGCTTTAATTAAAAATGGCAGTGTAAAATTATCCTCCACCAAATGTAACAAATTGAATGAAGCTTTGGTTTTGTAACTTTGATGACAAAAAATTCATAAACGAATATCTTTGCACAAAAGATGACACATGATAGGAGTGATGTTGAGTACTGTTTCCAAAATTAGCAACAGTGTGGGGTGATTAATGGGATTGAGAAGCATGACATTGATGTGAGAGTGGAAATGCATGTGCAGGTGGAAGTGAAAGATGAAGAAAGATGGAAGACAAAAGAAACAGAAAGAGAAAAGAAGGAATGGAGGAAGATAGAGGAAGAACTTTGCAAACAAAGTGGATGCTTTTGGTGGATGAGAAAGAAAGAAAAGGCAGAGAGAGAGAGAGAAAGACAGAGGAGGAATAACATGTTTCTCACTCACTTCAAAGCTAGCAAAAGATAAAGAGCATCAAAATATGAAAAAGGGTGTACGTGCAATGCAATGCATGATAGTTGAGATTCTCTTTCATCACCATCTTGCTCTCTCACCCCAGCAATTTTTGCAGTGCTTCACTGAAAATAGAAAAGTTAAGAGCAAATGCAAATGCAAATTGCAAATTCCATTTGTGAAAGCGTATGGACTGTGCTGTGTGTGGTTCTCTTTCTTTGTCTCTCTGGTGGTCCATTTTTGTGTGTTTTTTTGTTAAATGGAAATTAAGGAATATGGCATGTTGTGTTCATGTGAAATTTGTCTGACAGCTTCTGTTTCACGTGTATGTTTTGTTTTCCTGCATTTTGAATTCATAGCTTCTTATCCCTTTCGTGTTACAACTCAATTGTTAAACAACTGGCGAAGATGTTTACAAAATATGAACAATATGAACATTAAACAGTATCTTAGAACTGGTAATTTAATGTATACATATAATTAATTACTAATTGTACTCGTAAATTAAAATGCAGTAAAAAAACCTCATTTATCTATCATATGAGTATTGTCTCCTACAAATTTATATACCAGTATTTTTCTTCTTAACGTAAATTTTCTGGATTCGTCAATGTCTTTAAAAGAAAATATTTGTCTAGAATTAAAAAAAAAAACATCAAAATATAATGAATATAAGTAGATGGGAATATGAAAATTTGGTACGAAAATACATTATCGACGTGGTTTGGGGTAATTGGGTTTGTAAGAGAAAAAGACAATTTTTGTGGACTTAAATAATTTTTTTCTTTATAAATTTATTACATAATTTTTAATATTTTAGTCATTGATAAAAAAAAATAGTCTAATTTAGAAATCATGATTTATTAGCGATTCTACCTCTTCAACACTGATTTTAATTATTAATTTATAGCTAATAATCATTAAAATAAAAAAAATATAAAAATCATTGAGAGATTCAAACTCCAATTGTTACAATGCATAGAGAGGTAAGCTTTGACATAGTGTAATCATTTATGCCGACATTGGGCTTTTTGTTCATTCTCGATAATGGGCCTCAGATATTTCTGAACAAGGCCGTGGTGCTATTCGTGGATGTTGTTTCTTCTTCAACATTTATAATTTTTTTGGGCATCTCCATGATTAAAATAATTCTCATTTTATTCTGTTATCCTCAAATTCATTATCAAAAAATTCAATCCCAAATATATTTTTAAAATACCTAATTTAAAAATAAATTTCGGAATAACTAATTTAAAAATAATAGATTAATGGTTCTAAATCTCATTCTTAGACTACTCAATTCAAAATATATTTTTATAATTCCTAATTTGAAAATACATTTCAAAATAACTAATTTAAAATGTACTTTAACATTAAATATTCTGAAAATATATTTTAAATTATTTATTTTAGAATTTGGTTCGAAAATGAATAATCTAAATTCTTATATATATTTTTAGTTTAGTTTTTATGGATATTAAGATGAATATTTTGTAATAAGCATATAACACTCACAACACAATTTCTAATCTTATAGCCTCAAAACAATCTCCAATAAAAGAGGAAATGCAGCAAAACAAAGATAGAGAGTTATGAAGATGAAAAAGAGATATGAAGATATAAAGGTACCCAAGAGTGAAAAAACTTTTTAGATTTTTAAACAAAAATTAGTAAAAAAATATTTTAGTCATTTTATATGGATTAGGGGAAGTAATTACGGAGTGCTCGAAGAAATAGCCTTACATCAGTTTTATAATTTCAATTTAAATTTTCTATAAAAATATATCTATTGTTCTGACAAAATTTCGTGAGATACGCTCCTCAAACAGTGCTACGAGAATCACGGAGGTTGCAGGACGAGCTGCAATCCCTCTCTGTCTTCCTTCTCAAATATAGAGGTGCTGAACTCGTTTCTCATTTCCCTCATTGATTTCTAAGAGTTGTTTTATGGTTCTTCAGTTCAGTTGTTAGAATAATAGAATATATATTGTACTCTTTTGCAGATTTGTTATTGATGGAGCACGGCTCATACTCTGATCCTAGTAAGTCCACGTTTTCTTTCGTAGATGAGGATCATACTTTGGCAAACTCTGTCAGATTCACCTTAAATCAAGAGTAAGTAATTAGCTTCCAATTCTTTTAGGGTTTTTCTAATATTTGATAGGTAATAAACTTTTGTTAGTCAGGAAAGTAAAAATTGCAATTAGAGGAAGATACATCTCAAACACTTGATTCTAGATAATATAAGAGACTCGATTTTGCAGTGTTTGTGCTTAAACTCCCTTGAGAAACCAGACACAGAAGCCATAAGCGTTTGCTTTTCCCGTAGCAATCTGAAAAATAATCATGCATCTGACCTAAATTTCAGTTTGGCTATCGTTTGCCTGCAAAACTGATTCGAAGTAGGTGTTAAAAGTCAGACATGGATACGCAAACGTTAGTGAATTACCTTGTATTGCTCTATGAACGAAAATATATAGCACTGTATAAGAAAAGTGTAAAAGAAACAGAATTAACTAATTTTGACTGGACTATTTACTAACACTTCTCCTCGTGTCAAAAACGTGTAACATCTACAACTCCAATTAACTCACTCAAATTTCTAGATCTTTCGCACTTTAGGGCCTTTGTCAATATATCAACAAACTGCACCTCTGATCTGGACTGTTCAATCCCCAATTTTCCATTGCTGATTTGCTCCCGGATGAAGTGGAATCTTGTTTCTATGTGTTTGCTTCTGCCATGAGAAGCTGGGTATTTGGCAAGATCTATAGCTGACTTGTTGTCTACTAGCAACTTTATTCTATGAGCTTGTTCTTCATTTAGCTCTTTCATCAATGAATTCAGCCAGGTTGCTTGGCAGGCAGCTTCACATGCAGCTATATATTCAGCTTCACAGGAAGATAATGCTACCACTGGTTCCTTTGTAGAGCTCCATGAGATTGGTGTTTTTCCAAAGAAGAAAATGTAACCTGCTGTGCTTTTCCTGTCACTCTTATCAACACACCAGTCAGAATCTGAATATCTACTACTTCAACAAGCTCCTCAGTTAATCTTCTTGGTAGCAGAATTCTGAAATTGGCAGTGCCTTATAGATACCTCAATATCCCTTTTGCGGCAAGTAAATGTGACACCTTAGGATCTTGCATGTATCTACTAATCAATCTAACATTGAGATCAGGTCTTGTATTACACAAGTATCTCAAACTTCCAACAATCCGATATAGTATAGGATCTACTCTTTCTTCATTAGGTTCCTTTTCCAACTTTAATCCAACCTCAGCTTATGTGTTTGCGGAATTGCTCTGCTGCATGCTGAACTTCATCAACATATCACGGGTGTATTTGGACTGATGCATAATCATTCCAAATTGTGTCAACTTTCATCTTATGTCCACTTTGTTTCTCAACCATGTGTTTGAACTTAGTAAACACAGATAACACCTCACTCACTCTTCCTTTTCAACATATAAACCCACATATTTCTCATTAGATCATCATCAACAAACATGAAAAAGTACCTGTTGCCTCCAGGAGTCTCAACCTGCATTGGTCCGCATGTGTCTGAGTGTGTATCATATCCAGTTTTGTTAATGCTTTGCATGGCACAAAACTTTTGAATTATCCTCTGGTCTGTTTGCACTAGACACATTCTCTACAAACCTCTTCCGGAATTGCAATTGAAGGGAGCCCTGCAACCATGTTCTTGTGGGTTGATTCTGGTCTTGAAAATTTAGATGACCAAATCTGAGGTGCCACACCCACTCCATTCGATTGTTTGTAGTAGCAAAACATTAATGCCTCATTGTGCTCGTACCAATGCAGAATGTCATGTTCTGTGAAAGATTTGTGTGAATAATGAGTTTCTTCTTTTTGTCATAGATACTCAGACAATTATCTTCCATTGTTGTGACAAAGTCTTTCTGCAATAATTGTCCAAGACTCAGAAAATTAGTCTTCGGACCCGACACATACAACACATCCTCAATTATGATTTATCTGCCATCATAATCTCTCAACACAACCCGACCAATGCCTTCTCCATTCAAATTGCAGTTATCAGCAAATCTAATCTTGTCGTAAGAAACATCATCAATCTTGATAAACTTATCTTTCCTTCCTGTCATATGTGTGGAGCAACCAAATTCAAGATACCACGAAAAGCAACCAAATTCAAGATACCACGAGGTTTCATCTGTAGCATCTGTACTTGTTTTCGCCATAAGCATCATTGTGTCAGACTCGGACAAGACATCATCCTGAACCAAATTTATTTGATTCTTTGGTTTGTTTTTAGCTCCTTCCTCATACCAACATTCACGAGCAAAATGCCCATATTTCTGGCAATTGTAACATTTTACTTTTATTTTGTCAAATTTCCACACCTTATCGTCATTGGAGTTGACATGTTACTTTTTATGATTCATCTTGCTCTTGGAAGATTCTCCAATGTCATCGGACTTGTGATCTTGAGACTTTTGCTTGTGAAAAAATTTTCCTCCTTTCCATGAGTTTTTGCCTTTTCTTTTTTGAGTTGATTTGAAGTGCATGCTCTTGATGATGTCTTCTTTCATTTGTCTGGTACTCATGCGCTTCAAGGGAGTGTTGCAGCTCCTCTATCTCCATTTCATCAAAATCTTTCTTTTCTTCAATTGCCACTACCACATTGTCAAATCTTCTCAAGATTTTGTCTACTACTTGTTGATTCGTAATACTATTTTTGCATGTTCTCATTGCATTGACATGTTCCTAGATCTTGTCAAAATAGTCTGCAATCACTTCATTTTCATCCATGCTAAAGAATTCAAATTGTCTCCTCAAGGTATGCAACTTGACCTTCTTATTTTTATCATCACCACCACCACCACCATAGGTTTGGAATAGGATTTCCCATCATTCTTTTGCAGTGGAAGCTTTAAAGATCTTGTTAAAAATCTTGGAATTGACACATTGATAAATGAAGGATCTTGCTTTACTGTCAAGTTTCTGCAGATTTTTAAAAATCTTCTTGGCTTCATCAGGGGCTTTGTTTACCGGATCTTCCAATTCACTCTCAACTATGTCAGCTACATCTTGGAAACCAAAAACAGCCAACATTTTAATTTTCCAAGCATCAAAACTTTATCATCAAACACTGGTAATGCTCCTTGAGTAATACTACCATTTCCGGTCATCTTGATTTCGTGCATTTGCTGAGTTCCTTTCAATGTTCCGCTCTTCTTGGTATATCAAGAGTCCCACCTTTTCATAGGATCGTTCATGCTCTAGATACCATGTTAAAAGACAGACAAGGCTACGCAAATGTTTCACTGAATTACCTCATCTTATTGCTCTATGAACGAAGGTACATATATAGCATTGTATAGGAAAAGTTTAAAAGAAACAGAATTAACTAACTTTTGGCTTGACTATTTATTAACAGCAGGAAACATTGTTCGGCAAAATATAATTGAGTTCGAGATTATCCTTTTTGTGGACAACAAATTGATTGAGGTCTCCCTCTCATCCCTCAGTGAGAAAAAGAAGAAGACCTAAGATTAAGACAAGAAGTTCCTATTAATATTTATTGACTTAGTTTCTTTATGTGTTAATCCATTTCTGTTAAATGTAGTTTGAAGGATTTTCACTTTAGGACCTCATATTATGAAATGTATTGTCTGTTTTACCTGCCTTTTCCATAGCTCTCTTTCTATTCCTTACATTTCCCTTTTCTTCCTCAACATTGTTATTGCAATATGTGCTGATCTATGTCATTGAATAATGTTTTCTTGCAGCCCAAGAGTGTCATTTTCTGGGTACAGCATTCCCCATCCTTCAGATAACCGTGTTAATATCAGAGTCCAGACAACAGGTAAGTAAGTATGGCTGTGATTTTCAAATTTGCTCTGCAATCTACTGCGATTACTTCTTTTCTTTATGTATAAAATTCACAAGGGTACTGTGTATGTAATTAGCAATTTCATATTTTGTTAGATAATCGTGTATATTCTTTTGCCTTGCCATTTGTTACTTTTGATGGATATGAAGTTGTGAAAGGGAGCCCAGCCTTTTTAAGCCCATTATTATGTCACAACAAAAATTGTGATACTGAAAACGTTCTCATTGCATTAAATTCTCTGTTGAACATAAGAAGTTTTTCTTATGAAAGTTAATATATGAAGCCGGTGTAAGGTTTAGGCGCTGCATCCAAAAAAAAATAAATTAAACAGCCACAGACACTATACAAACTATTTTTCATTCTAATAAAAATCATTATAGGACAATAGTTGATCATCCAGAAATATGTTTTTCATCATGAATAACATGTCTATTTATGCCCGTAGGCGTATTTGCTAATCATTTCTTCTTGTATTTCTGTATTCTAAAACTTGTCTCTTAGATTTATATCTAATTCAATGTCATCTCTTTGCATCTGTAGGGGATCCAGCACGCGAGGTATTAACAGATGCATGTCAAGATCTGATGCTTATGTGCCAGCATGTTAGGAGCACTTTTGATAAAGCAGTCAGTGATTTTAAAATCAGCAAGGCTGGGAAGGATAAAATGGATGTCGAGTAGTATACCGGCTATAGTTTCAACTTGTCTTAAAGTTTATTATCTTGATAGTGGGGTTTAAGAGTATACTATACTGGTTATAGTTTCAATTTGTCTTAAAGCTGATTTTCTTAATAGTTGAGTTTAAATGTATCCTTCGCGAACCATCTTCTATTTTGCTTATGTAGCAGTTACACCCAAACATGATTTTACTCCACATATGCGTAGTTTGATAACCTGGTACAACGATTGAGTCATTAATTTTTTGAGATATGGATGAATGATTTGAATGATCACTAGAACGGGCAAATTTAGGCCCCAAGAACCACGAAGGGGAGATTCCCAGATTACTTGTAAAACTCTTCTTTATTATTCATTCAATTATTCAAAGAAGAAAACGTAGTTGTGTGTGAAATACGCTCGGAGTGTCTACCACTCAAACAACTCTTTTTTGAGTCTTGCTAGTATCAGGCCATTTTCCCCTGGGTTTTGTTCAGTGTTTACTACATATTTGTAATGGAAATCCTGGCATTTTAAGTAGGTGCGGAATATGATTTCTTAACATGACAAAGTAATTATAGGTAGAGTGGTAGGAAACAACGATAAAAGCAAACTAGCGTCAGTCTGGTATTAGGAAAAAAAAAAGAGATTAGTATGTGCAAGGGTTCAGATTCTAACCTGGTTATGGCCATTCCATATTTGTACATCTAAAGAGGGAGGGAGGGAGGGAGGAAATTATCGTTATGAGATATACAAAATTGATGCGGATAACCATTCACCAAATGACATTATTTCTCAAATTACCTGATGAGGGACAACCAAGCAAAGTATCTTTTGCCGCATCTACAACCCACCATATAGGATCACCACTAGAGAAATAGGGTTCATAGCAGAAACCAAACCTCAACCATGGGCAATCTCTTAAAGGCTGATGTGTATCCCTCCAACTAGTTAAACGGGGGACACTAGACGATAATGAAACTGAGCTCTGGTGGCACCTTGTTTTGTAAGCACAAGAATAATTAATCACACGTATTATTTGAAAGGAAAGATACTATAACAAACGGTTTTGAATGGTGTTGTGGTTGAGTTTTCCCAGTCAAATAATGTTATATTTAATTTTAAATTATTTTTGTATCATATTGGTCTTCCATTTTATTTTTATTTTTATTTTTTGTCACCGATTTCCCAATTAGAGTTTACAAACATAAATCTTAGTCAACCCCTAATATGCTGAACATAGTAAGAAAGTGGAATTTATTGTACCCAACAATTGCTATATTTGTTTCATTTGGTTTTCATGATTCCGTTTTCCGATCCATGCCTAAGCTTACTCTGATTTTAACCACCGTATTCACATCACACGCTCCAGTCACAATGTCAATCTCATCATCCAAACAACCGTTTCTCGTAATCATCATAATCTTCTTCTTATTGGGTCCCGGTCCAGGCCCAGTCATCGCTCGTGATGCCCACGTCATCAATTTCCGGTCACCGAATCTGTACCCGGAATCCCTTGCGTGGGACCCACTCGCGCAGCACTTCCTCCTCGGATCCCTCCGCCAACGTATCATTGCAGCCGTCTCCGACGCTGGCATTGTCGAAACCTTCATCTACGACACCGACCTCCCCGACGGCACCTCCATCCTCGGCCTCGCTGTCGATGCTCCGCGCAACCGCCTCCTCGCTGTAGTACACTCGCATCCTCCCCTCCCTCCGTTCAACGCCCTCGCTGCCTACGACCTTCGCTCCCGCCGCCGCCTCTTCCTCTCGCCACTCCCCTCCTCAGACAACGACGCTGCGAACGACGTCGCCGTCGACTACCGCGGCAATGCCTTCGTCACCAACTCCGGCGGGAACTTTATCTGGAAGGTCACCACGGACGGATCCGCCTCGATCTTCTCGGTATCACCCATTTATTCGGCGGAGACAAACAATCCGGCAGACAACGACTACTCTTCTCACAGTTCCCTAGGGCTCAACGGAATCGCTTACGTGAGCAAGGGTTACCTCTTAGTGGTGCAATCGAGCACCGGGAAGGTTTTCAAGGTAGACGCGGAAGACGGCGCGGCGAGGAAGGTGTTACTGGACGAGGACCTGGTGGGCGCCGATGACATCGCAGTGAGGGACGACGGGGCGGCGGTAGTGGTGTCACCAATGAAGGAGCTGTGGTTGGTGAAGAGCAAAGATAGTTGGGCGGAGGGAACGGTGTACGACAAGGTGGAGGTGAACGTGCGGCGGTTCCCGACATCGGTGGTGATGGGAGATAAAGAGAGGGTGTATGTGTTGTACGGACACGTGGATGAAGGGAGGAAAGGGGATTCGGGGAGAGAGAGTTTTGGAATCGCTGAGTTGAGATCCAAAAAGGAGAGCCAAGAAGAGAGTGTTTGGATATATGTGGTCATTGGTTTGGGTTTGGCTTATTTTCTGTTTTGGAGGTTTCAGATGGGTCAGCTTGTGAAGAACATGGACAAGATCAATTGACTTTCACTTCTCCAGCTTGTGAAGAACATTCTTTCTTTCTTTTCAAATTCATTTGTAATCCATTCTAACTCTAATTATTAATCCTGCTTTTATTTTGTAAGAAATTAATGTCTGGCTCATTGCTGTTTACATTACTGTTGAAAACCTCACCTTGCATCAATCAAGCCCTGCTACCATTTAAAAACAAAAATGTTTAGTAATGAAAATTAGTATTTCATCATTAAGGGACACCCCACTATGTATTTAAAAGGTTTTATTAATATTATACTATTAAATTTAAGTTCTTTAATGAACGTTTATTAAATGAAAGTGTCAACTTATAGTTTTCAAATTGAAAAGGCATACGTAATGTGCTGCCGCTGGAGTTTGCCTAGTTGCCTCGCCTTACACATATAACAACAATAATTTCTATTCCTTGTCAAATAAACTGAGTTTTCTTTTGTTCATCTAACAAATCGTTTCATCAATCGCAACTAAGCATTGAATTTCGTTTTCTTTCCCGAGTGAAACAAGACCTACATTTTTGTTGCTGTTTTTATTAATCAATGAATAACAAGGCTGATTAACGAAAGTAGCTACTAATACATGGTTCCGTTTGTTTATCATTAAAATCAACGCATGAGCATTTCTTGGATAAGCTGAGGTATTGAAAATCTTTGACACATTATCCTGAAAACACACAAGACTAAATTACTAATTGCTATGCACAATCAGCAGACGTAGTAAAACTTTATTCTACGAACTATTTTTCTGTTTACGTTGGGATGCACTTTGATTTGTTTTGTTCTAAAATCCGTAACAGATTATCACTCGCAGTACAGAAGGTTGCAATGGAAATTTCAAACGAACGTTGATAACACACGGGCATTACATTTAAAAGCAAGCACAATGAAAATAAAAATTATATGATCTCTATAAAAATTGACACAATGAAACATGATGAAAAGTCAAAATTACTTGATGCTCAACTAGAATACCCAAAAGCCATGCACCTTACACCAAGTCTACAACTGAATCAGATATTCTTTAAGCAATGTCTGAATCAACTAAAAACATAAATTATAAAAGCAAGGAACTCCAATACTACTTTATTGTTCGCCAGACAATGTCTTGATGATATCTGAATCACCTGAAAAAACCAAAAGATAACAACATTACAAAACAAAAACACCAAAACTAGATTCTAATGTTGATGAAATAAGAAAGAAGGCATCGGATACCAGGATCAATAATGCTTAGGCAGCACACTCTGTAATATTTGCCGCACGCAGTGCCCAAATCCACATTGTCTATAAACAAGAAATACTTTGTTAACGAGACAAAATTGTACCCGACACCTTGAGAAAGTGTCACATTACATTTTCCACCACATACAATAACATCCAATCATCAATAGGTCGATTGTGCAGCAATTTATACTAGAGAAAACAGCAGCATGTACAATTTTAAGGTCGGCGATCTCATATCATTTTTAATTGTCTAAACACCAACGGCTATAACCATCAGTTACTGTAAATGTAGATCACATAAATTTAATAATGAAGGACATTAAAGATGGTTAAAAAAACAATGTCCAAAAAAACTATTATTTCAGGTTTTAATGCAAGAAATCAACTGAGTCATACGACTGACTCAGTCTAAACTTGTTTCTAAATAAGTTAGAAATCTAAATAGTAAACTTATTTACAATGTAGCCAATTACTGACTTCATTTGTTGAGGAAGAAAATAATGGATGAAAACATATAGTACACAAATGCGTAATAAAAACCACTGTAAAAAAATCAGTTGATTGTAAATACAACATCCTAAGTTAAATCCAACAATATCGTAAACCCATAAAAATAAAAAATAGTTCTACGGAACAGAATACTTAAACTAAAAAATAAATAAGAAACTTGGGATTTTCCTCCAATCATTTAATCCATGCCAACACAAAGGAGATGTCAGATAAGGAACTTACTTCCATTGTAGTGATGAACTACAACCTTTGCCAACATAGCATAGTATTCTATTTCTGACTTTCTCAATGGAGGGCAATTGTTGGCAATGATAATCATTTTCCCTGAAACGAATTCAACGGTATTCAGATATCGTTTTACGAAAACATGAACAAGAAAAGCAAACATCCCCAATAATTAAACATATAAAAACGTCACAGAGATAATCGGATCAGTCAAATTATTCCATTAACAAACAACTATTTCGTGTCAGCAGCACTTTGACGTCAAATTGACACTTCCAGTAAAAGTGAGTTGCCATCAAATGCTATGAAAAGTAAGAAGAAACTGCCAAAAATAAAAGTGAAGAAAAATGACACCTTTGGAACTCCTTAGGGATTTGAGAACGGTCTTGTAACCAAGGGTGTACTTGCCACTCTTCATGACAAGAGCGAGCCTGTTGTTAATGCTCTCATGGGTCTTCTTCTGCATTTTTCAAATTAAAAACAGCAAAACACAAACCCATTAAGATCGACTTAGAAATGAAAACTATGAGCAGATCAAGAATGCTCATTGCATAGAGGGGGAGAGAGCTCACGGTTTTCTTGGCGGCAACCATTGTTGCAGTGCAGAGAGGACGAAGAAACCCTAAACCGAGGAAACGGCGACTGAGAATCTATGAGGTGTGGTCACTAGGGTTTGATATAGTGTACTTATTCATGCTGGATTAGATTGGGCCCTCTATTCATCCTAAATAATGGGCCTTTCAAATTTCTGAAGCAGGCCCAGGTGTCATATCTGGATCACTTTTTATAATTTAAATTTTTAATTCTATCCTAGAAAAAAAAAATTATTCTTTAAAAAAAAATAGAATTTCTTGTTTTTTCATTTTCATACCATCTTTTATTATACAAAAGTTTCTTTTATATCACTCCTTTTACGCAAAATATATGATATCCTTGCAAAACAATAACTTATATTTCGTTTACAGTATCATGATAATTGAATTTTTTTATCAAGTAAGTAACATTTCAAAATTACAGTAAATTTTAAATTAGAATATAATATACCCATGATTTTGTTTTTTTATTTCAAAGAGATCGAAATTTCATTCAATAAAAAACTTAAATTATATTTGTTCTTTATATATTTGTAGAATATTGATCTTATAGAAAACATTATTATATTCAAATTTTTAAATTAAGTTATTGAGGTATAATGTATTAATATATTATCTATTTTTTAAGATAAGATGATGTGTTAAAAGTATGCTATTGAATATTAGTATCAATGGTTTATGTGAATGAGTGATTATAACTAATAAGTGATTATAACTAATATATTAACAAACACTTTAATATTATGATTAGAAATTCAATGATGTAATAAAGTAGATAAAAATTTATTCATTTTTAAAATTTTGTAAAAGTTAATTGTGCAATTAAAATCTTATATGCAACAAAATTTAATATTTATAACAATTATGATGACTAAAAATGAATTTAAGTCAACTTAATAAAAACAAAAACTTACCCTATAAGGAATGAAACAAGGACAAAACGAGTATCTTTTCACCCTTATTAAAAAAAAAAGTATGAGAGTGAGATAAGAGAAAACGGGGTGGCACAAGGCCGAAATGGAACGGCCCAAGGCCCATCTATCTTGGCGGTGACGAAAGTTAGATCCTTTTGTGCCGTGCAACAAATGGGGGCAAGGGTGAGGAAAGAAGAAAAAGAAAAAAAATGGAGAACGTGGAATTCGAGGCTTCGGAGATTGAGTATGTTAGTTATGGCGGCGAGCATCACCTTCCTCTGATTATGAACCTCGTGGACCAGGAGCTCAGCGAACCTTACTCCATCTTCACGTACCGTTACTTCGTCTATCTCTGGCCTCAGCTTTCTTTCCTGGTTCCTCAACTTTTCACTTTTTTTTTTTTTTTAGTTTTTTGCAAATTAATTTTTCATTAAGATTTTTGGGTTTTCCTTATGTCTTTTTTTGTTTTCTGCATGTGCTTGTTTTTAGGCGTTCCACAAGGGTCAATGCGTGGGCACGGTGGTATGTAAGATGGGGGAACACCGCAATACTTTCAGAGGGTACATTGCCATGCTGGTTGTGATCAAGCCTTATAGAGGGAGAGGCATTGGTAATTCTCATTTTATGCTGTCATTTAAAAAAAAAATTATTTGGAAAAGAAGTAAAACATATAATGTGCATGTATTTGGTTTTGCTTAATTTTATCAATTTCCTAAAAGAGCTTTTAAAGAATAAGGAGAAGGTGTGTTTATAGTGTCTATATTTTGGGTCAAAAGGGGTCAAAGTTCCTATATCTCCACAGTCATGAATATGGTCTTTAAACTTTAAGGAACAACTGGATTTACATTTCTGTGAATTCATCATTTTTTTGAAGTTACGAAGGACTATGTTCACATATTTATTAGAGTTCGCGGACCAAATTCATAATATGAAGGTACTAGGACCTTGACCAATTTTTATAATGAGTTTATGATTTGTTATACACGTGTCCACTTTGTCATCGATGGTTGCTTTCTTATGTGTTAATTTCCTGTTTCGTGATGTTATTATTGGATATAGAAGTTTTAGTTCTATGTTGATAAATGCTAATGTTTGGGTATTGATTTTGCTTCATTTTTCTGCAGCTACAGAGCTTGTTACTAGGTCTATCAGTGTGATGATGGAATCAGGTTGTGAAGAGGTATGTATGTATTTATGTTACCATATGTGGTTGTATTGCAGTTTATGTAGTTTAGCCTGTGGAAAGGAGTCAAGGCTGAGAGAACTAGAGCTTTATAGTTTCCCTGTTGGTTGATATGACAAATTGAAAACGTAAATTTCATTGTACTTTCATCTTAAACAATTAAATGTTCTCTGGATCGGGATTTGGGTATGGATTTTATGTATTTGTTATACAATTCATGTGCATTTGTATAATGATTACATCTTAGTTAAATGCTTTAAGTGTACCGGTCCAATAATTATCATCTAGATGGGATGAAAATGGTGAACTCCCAAATACGAGTCACACTACCTGTGGAGCAGAGAATTAGTTTTTGCCTTTCATCTTCTATCACTCTTTTTCTTCTTTCTTGGTATTTTCATTTGTTTTACCTTTAATCTTATGAATATAAAAACTAAAATCTGGATACTATTCAGCTCAAAGGAATGGAGCACAGATCTTTACAGTTGTTAAATCTCTGATGAACCAGAGAATACAGCCCCAGCATATTATAGTATAGTGCACTCTCCTCCCCAGGCCAAGGTCACCTTTGCTAGCAAAAATGCTCATACCCCCCACATGTTCTGGCTCCTACCATTAGTGATGCCTATCATCATTTCTCTTATGATTCTCCGATTGTCTTCCTCTCAATCTCCTTTTGCCAGCTGTGCCTTCCTTCTCTTGAGCATTTCCTTCTTCCAACCAATTTCTCCACTCCTTCTCTTTCTTCTTTCTTCTAATTCCTTTTCTCTCGTACACCAGAAGGTCCATTTTTCCATTTCTTTATTTCCTTCTGTATATGCAGCTCAATGGCTCATCATCCTACCACCACCAGCCCATGGTTTCAGGTCAGTTATCAATCAGTTGCATTATTGATATATTATTTCAAATAGAGAAAGAAACTTTGGTTGGAAATTGAAATTGAGACCTAGAGTTTTTGTGTGATTATGTTTTAATTTGGTTGACTTTGATGTTTGTTTTACTCAAGAAAACAAGGTATCATCAGCATTGTTATATAGTGCTGGACATGCCAATAACTTGAATGTATATAAGAATATCAAAATCCCTTTTCTTATTGCAGTTTTATTCATGCAGGCATGCACCTGATTTAATATATTTGAATATTTAGTCAAAAAGATAGACTGAGTACCAAATATTCAACTTTACTAAATTTAATCTATATGAAAATGGAAAAGATGTTTGTTTAACCTTCTGTTTCTAAAGTTGAATCACATAAACAAATCCATGTTATGGAGCTGTCCTTGCATTCCCTGATTCTCCATCTTCGTTAATTAAACTAGGATTGTGATAGTGCACATGCCTCTTTTTGGTTTTCCTTTTGTGTTTTTGCCTCTTCCATTTTGTTTATTGAGACCACCCTTGGAATGGCATTTTTTTGGCCCCTCATCATTACCTTTGTCCTTAATTTTTTTTTTATGTTTTCTTATTGAATGCTGATAGCTTGTTAAGAGATATTCATTTTGAAGAAACTAATCCTATTGCCTGTTGAAATTCAATACCCAACACTGCCATGATAGATTTTGCTTCATGTCATGTAGACTGTAGTGGAAAAACACTATAGCCAGAATTATATTGAATATCATAATTCTGAGTTATTTATTTGTATAGGTTACACTTGAAGCGGAAGTGACAAATAAAGGAGCCCTTGCCCTGTATGGTCGCCTTGGCTTTATCAGGGCTAAACGGCTCTTTCACTATTATTTGAATGGTGTTGATGCTTTCCGTTTGAAACTTTTATTTCCCCGCCCAGAGTTGCACCCATCTCTGCCAATGATGGCAGATAAATATGAGAGCCACATACAAAGTGACCAAGGTGATACATCATTTAAAGAATAATTTGGTTCTTTATTTTGAGAAAAAATTTCAGCATATATTGTTGTAAAATTAGTTATGCATTTCAATTCTGGTATAATTTTTTTGCAGAATAATTCCTTTATGTGAAATGAAATCAATTTTCAGTTTTTTTGGTGATGACAAATTTAATGGAACTTATTCATTGTTTGTTGAGAAAAATGAAAATAAACTTTGTACCTTGTATATCATGTACATCAGAGAGGATTTATTTCCTATTGTCCTACTCAGTTATTGCAATCTTCAAGACATATAGGCGTAAGAAATAAATTAATTATGTTCTCAGTGGGCGTTTAAGTTGTACTCTGCTGAGAATGAAAAGTGACAGTGCTTGGAACCAGCTCCAATGGTGATTGAAAATTTAGGAAGGTTAAAATTTAAATAAATTTTTTATAGGAATTAAAACTAAAAGTTATATATTGTAGAAGTTTTAAAAATGACGATTTCAAACTTTATAAGAATGACAAATGAAAAAATAAAAAATTATATGAGATTTATTAATTTTATGAGGCCTAAATAATTTTTAGGCTTACATGTAAAATTGTAAATTAACGAGTTATTGACATATATTTGAACTTTACAACCATTGATTGAACTTAATATAATTAAGCAGGTATAATTATATATTATAAAAGAACTAAGATGTTAAATATATTTAGATATAATTCTATTTGATAATTGTAAATTAATAAAATATTTATTTAATAGTTATAAATTAATAATATATTTATTTAATAAAAAAGTCCACATACAAGTGCTTTCTTACTTGGGCAGAAGATCTCATTTTCATTCTCAATTATTATTTGAAATAATTGTTAGAGGGTACTATGTTTCAAAAGAAATATATTCAATTATCATTTTAAAACAACTAGATTATGATGCACACACATATCGAAAATATTATACTAAGTATAAACTTTATATAGATATGATAATACAAATAAATTTTACAATACAAAAATTTAATAAATATTATAAATTCCACACTTATTTGGTAAGTTTGTTTTCTTAACACTTATATGCTTTAAATAAATTTCTAATTAAAATATGTGATTTGAGTTCTATTGTTAAGATATCTGATTAAAAGTTTATCGAGAAAAATTAGTTATATACATCATCATGAAATACATTATATTTATAAGATAGTTAAATTAAACAAACGTTTTCCGCTAACGATAAATAAAGAATAAAATAATCACATTTTAATATTTATTATATCATGTGAAAGCTAAATATTTATCGATAGTATTCTTAAAGTAAAGGAATAAAGTACAGAACTTTGTATAGGAAGCATGCGTCATGCAACATCATTTGGATTCCCAAAATTTAAACTATTTTCAATGTCCTCTTCTGTACTTTTCCTCGTCGTAAATAAACACCAGGCATGCAAAATGAACAGGTCAAAAGGCTTCTTCAATCAAAATCAATTTCACTACTTTTTTTCTTCTTTTTCTTTTCTTTTCTTTAATTTCTCCAAACATACACACTTCCGTCTAATGAACGACTCTCCCTTCCTAAGACAGGATTTTGACTTTAAGATGCTACCCTTCTAATTTTGCTTCTAAGCTCATTTTTTTCTTCCAGGCATTGAATTTGGTATTAATCTCCTTTTCCCCAACTAAATTCAGGATACCAACACTGCTACAGATATGCCTTTCAACGTCGGTTATATAAGGCTTTCAACGTCGGTTATACAACCGACGTTGTATCAGACGACGTTGAAAGAACCGACGTTGAAAGTTTAGGCTTTCAACGTCGGTTATTCATACCCGACGTTGAAAAGTGTATACTCGTCGCTCAAGCGAGTACACTCGTCGCTCAAGCGAAATGGAACCCGAGAGTCCCCTTTGTTTGAAGCTTTCGTCGCTTAAGCGAGTACACTCGTCGCTCAAGCGAGATGGAACCCGAGAGTCCCCTTTGTTTGAAGCTTTCGTCGCTCAAGCGAGTACACTCGTCGCTCAAGCGAGTACGTGTTTACTACGTCGGTTATGGTATGAACCGACGTAGAAAGTCTATTTTTTTTTTAAATGGACGCTTTGTTTATACAGGGTACCCAATGTTTGTATATATACATACCTGCAAATTTGAATACAACCCAGGCAGACAATGTACAAGATATAAACAATTGAATGTGCATCCAAAAATAAAATTGTATCCAAAATTATAGTGTATCCAACTACTTATCTACCAAATACACTAACTACTAATCTAACTAATAAACTAACTAGTAAACTAACTAGTAAAGTAACTAAACTAACTACTAAACTAACTACTAAACTAACTACTAAACTAACTACTAAACTAACTACTAAACTAAGTACTAAATTAATAACTAAACTTGCCTACTTCTAACTTTAACAAATGTTAGTATTATGGTGCTTGATTTAGTCCCACATCGATTAGGATTGTGAGATGAGGTTCTCTATTTTGTTATATAAGCAACCCTATGTAAAGTTTGAGATACACACAGAAATAAAAATACTTCCTAGTGTAGTCGTGGACGTAGGCATACATATTTTAGCCGAACCACGTTAAAATTCTTGTGTCGTTTATTTTTCTCTCCTTTATTCTTTCCTTTATTATTGTCTTGTTCCTAACAATTGGTATCAAGAGTCAATTTTCTTAGTATGCTCTATGGTTGCAGCTTTGTCTGATCTTCCACATCAGAAAAGATTTGGTCTTTTTTTCTTGGGAATCTCAGTTTAGAGAAGCAGTGGGAGCTTTCTTCGAAAGCAGTGAGAGCAATGGCATTGGAAGAAGGAAAGGTGAGGATCGAGAAGTTCGATGGCGGTGACTTCGGGTTCCGGAAGATGCAGATGGAAGATTATCTCGTATCGGAAGAAGTTGTATCTACCCTTGACAGGGCGAAGCCAACCGACATGGAGCAATCGAATGGGAGTTGTTAGATCGGCAGACGCTTGGTGTGATCCGGCTGACATTAGCCAAGAATGTTGCGTTCAACATCATGAACGAGAAGACAACCGTAGATTTGATGCAGGCGTTGTCAAATATGTATGAGAAGCCCTCTGCAGCCAATAAAGTGCATTTGATTCGCAGGCTAGTCAACCTCAAAATGGGTGAAGGTAACTCGGTTACTAATCATATTAGTGAATTTAATGCAATTATTGCGCAGTTGACATCGAGTGCGAGATAATATTTGATGATGAGGTGAAAGCATTAATTTTATTATCATCTCTACCGAAAAGTTGGGGTGCAACTGTTACTGCAGTAAGTAATTCTGCAAGCAATAACAAGGTGAAGCTTGATAACATCCGTGACTTGATCTTAAGCGAAGATGTTCGCAGGAAAAATTCAGTAGAATCTTTCAGTTCTAATTCAGGTTCAGCATTGAGTACTGAAACTAGAGGAAGAAGTCGCCAGAAAGGTCGTAATCAAGGCCGAGGCGAGATCAAAATCCGAGAGGAGATCACAAGCAAAAGTCCGGAATGATATCACTTGTTGGAATTGTCGAAAAAGGGCCACTTTTCAAATCGAGTGTAGGGCTCCAAAGAAGGACAACAACAACAACAAGAAGCAAGATGATGATCAATCAGCAAATGCAAGAATCGATGAAGTTGAAGATGCACTCGTTATATAGTTTAGATAATTCTATTGACTCATGGATTATGGACTCAGGTGCGTCATTTCATACTACACCTTCCTTAGAACTATTATCTAACTATGTTTCTGGAAAGTTTGGGAAGGTCTACCTTGCAGATGGAAAATCTCTTGATATCATAGGAAGAGGTGATATTAACATCGGAACCTCTAATGGAAACGTGTGGACTTTGAATAATGTCGGACATATTCCAACCTTAAAGAGAAACTTAATATCTATAGGGCAGTTGGATGATGAGGGACATTACACCACTTTTGGAGATGGACATTGGAAGGTAATGAAAGGTAATCTTGTTGTTGCTCGTGGAAAGAAGCAAGGATCTCTCTACATGATTGCGAGATGAGGATATGATATCGAGTTGCAGAAGTTGGCAACAATTCCTCCTTATGGCATCGGAGGCTTGGGCATATGAGTGAGAAAGGAATGAAGCTCATGATATCAAAAGGTAAAATACCTAACGTGAAGCATGTTGATGTTGGACCTTGCGAACATTGTATCTTTGGAAAGCGAGAAAAAGGTTAGCTTCTCCAAAACAAGTAAGTCGTCTAAAGTTGAAAGACTAGAACTAGTGCATACGAGATGTTTGGGGCCGGCTTCAGTGAAATCCCTTGGAGGTTCACAATATTATGTAACCTTCATTGATGACTCTACAAGAAAGGTATGGGTTTATTTTCTTAAAAATAAATCTGATGTGTTTTCTCGTGTTTAAAAGGTGGAAAAAGGAGGTTGAGACTCAAACAGGTTTAAAGGTCAAATGTTTGAAGTCCGATAATGGTGGAGAATATGACAGTAGTCAATTCAAGGAGTTTTGTTCGGAGAATGGGATCAGAATGATCAAGACAGTTCCAGGAACACCGGAACAAAACGGTGTGGCGGAAAGAATGAACGAGAACCTTGAATGAGAGAGCAAGATGTATGAGAATCCAGTCAGGATTACCCAAGGTATTTTGGGCGGATGCAATAAGCACAACAGACCTATCTCATAAACAGAGGACCATCAGTTCCTTTAGACTATAAGTTACCCGAAGAAGTATGGTATGGAAAAGAGGTAAATCTTTCACATCCGAAAGTTTTTGGTTGTGCTTCATATGTTATGTTAGACTCTAATAGTAGAGATAAATTGGACCCTAAGGCAAAACGTTGTTATTTCATTGGTTATGGATCTGACATGTTTGGCTACAGGTTTTGGGATGACCAAAACAAGAAAATTATCGAAGTAGAAATGTTACTTTTAATGAAAACATGTTCTATAGAGACGAGATTGCAGAATCCGCAAATGTAAATAAACAGACTAGAGCAAGTATCATTAGAAGAAATTTCAGAAAGTGATGTAGTCAACCGAAGGCGGAATATACAAGTAGAGCCT